TAACTTAGAATAAAAAACGAAAGGGGGGCCGTTGTGCTTCTTTTTTGGGAGCAGATTTGAAGTAACCATATAAGGCCACTTACCGGACAAGTTGTATCAAAAGTGGATGAAAAAAACTAAAAGCAAAAGTGGATGATATTAAAATTAGAAATTCATTGTACATGTTTTACATTAGAGACACTGCATTTTTAGAAGTGTTGTCTTTGAAAATTAATTTTTAAACGGGTATTTTAATGGCTCATATTTTATCAGTTTCAGTGGCGCGGTGAAGCGGATATTTCATAATTCCTTCATATTTCTTCTTTACCTATTTCCTATTCCTATTACCTGCATATTTCTTTGCCTATATATTTCTTCTCTACAAAATTCTTCCTCGGTATGTACAAGAGGAGCGCTGTAGGAGCGCATCAGTCGTCGATGAAATTTTAATAAAAAAGTTCATCGACATTGTGGTGGGAAGTGAGGTGCTATAGACATTTAATTAAATGTAAAATGAGAGCTCAATTCAAATTAATGCCCTTTCAAGGCATTAATTGAAGTTATCGTGACCCGAAATGAAATCAGTGCAAAAAAGCAGTCACCCTTTCAGAAATAAAAACAATTTTCAGTTTTTTAAGACCCGCGTAATCAAAGTTAAATTTGTAAGAAAAGCAGACTGGGTTACCAGTTTTTCCCGGTGCATTTTTGCGGTCGTTCCTGAGTGACGGATAAATGATCGTTATACGTGTACGTTTGTATGTGGCGAATAGTTGATTGATTGGCGAATAGTTGACGAATAATTGATCGATTACGGCGAATAATTGATCGTTTGCCGGAGGCGAATAGTCGATCGTATATATATGGCGAATAACTAATCATGTGCACGTGGTGAATGATTGATCGTATGTGTATGGCGAATAACTCATTGTGTGCATGTGGCGAATAGGTGATCGCTCACACGTGGCGAATAAGTGATCGCTTGTCCGTGGCGAATAATTAATCGTGTGTGCATGACGAATAATTGATCGTGTGCATGTGGCAAATAAGTTATCGGCTGCATGTGGCGAACAAGTGATCGGTCGCATGTGGCGAATAGGTGATCGTTTTCTTGTGACGAAAAAATGACCTGTATGATTTATATAGCCTGCATATGTGACTGATCGTTTGCATCTGGTGAATGTCGTATGTATGTCGTGTATATGAGGCTCCGCTAATTTTGTTTATGGCGACCCAATCAACATGCGGTCGACGACGTCTGAGTTGCCCATCCTTTGGTGCGGAATTAAGATTCGGAGTCACCATCAAAATGAGGGCACCATCACATGAGGGCAAAAACTGTTCTTTTCTTTACATGAATTTAGAACACATTTTAAAAATCAGTATAGCACATCCAATCATTTTAATCAACGTGGAAACTATTTAGCCCTCTTTTCGATCAATATTTAGGTAATGCATTTAGATGAAAATTTATTCTCTGTTTTATCTAGTCGAAAATCAGTCTACGGCCTTCTAAAAAAAAAATCCGAGCTGAGAATTAGACATTCCTCAGTCGGACTCATAGAGCATTAATTATTGTTAAAAGAAATGCAGTAATGAAGGTTTTGTCAATGCATTTATACTCGTTCGATGTTTTATGAAAATTTGTGACAAATTCTGCATAAATTCCAAAATTCCAAATTGTCATAGTTAGATAAAGTGCGGGTTATTATTAAGTTTATATGCAAAGTCAATTCTACTTTAGATTAGGAAATGACGGATTCGTTGCAACTTGTCACATGAACTAAGCGTTTAAATCAAAGAAAACGCCAAAAAATTTATTTTGTCTGCAGTGAAAACTTATCGGAGTCCAGCTCCATCATCAGTACAAAAAACTTCATTAAATAGGACCTACAAATACAAAATAGGACCTACAAATTGCCTAAGGAATGCAAAACCTATTGCATAGGTTTCAACGGTTTCAAGTGGAACCGTTGGATACGAACTCATACAGTGGATACAATCATAACACTCAGGTGACGTCATAGTTTAAAGAAGGTGAGGGAGTACCACGGGTAGCTATTGCTATAAAAGTTTCACCACGATGGTATGCTGCTAATCTATCCACCGCAGCTATTTATAATCGTCCAATTGCCAAACTCCGAAGAAGAGGATCAACAATGATTGAACCGTAACCGATGACGCGAGCTCTAGGTACAAGAGCAGCCACTTAAAGAGCTACTTTCGAGGTGCTACTTCAAGATCCCAAATAAATTTATCGAACTGAAACTTTAAACACGTGCTGCGTCTAAGCTTTACCAGGATTTCTAAGTAGAAGCCGAGCCAACTGCCACAACCAAACATGATTGAGGCTGCATCTTTCCATCACAGAAGACCCGATGCGGTACTCAATAGTATAGCTCTATCGTCCCCTTAGATAATATAATTATTAGAAATGATACATGAACGTGCGTTGATGTGTACAATGGCAAGTGCGGATCCTAGGCCATCAAAGTTCGTCGATGCATCATTGCAAAACAAACAGTTTTTGTATTCTTCTAAGTTCATCTTATTAATTAACAAATAATCTATATACTCGATGAATCGATACTGCACTTTTTTCACCGCGACATTCGCAAATTTACACGGCAAACTGTTTAAACGTTGTTAAGGCGTCAGCAAACTTCATTTCTTTTATAAATGTTACGAACTTGTTCAGTTGAAACTAATTGATGACAGATGTTGTGTTTTGGTGAGAGCTTTCAAAATAATTGGCTCTTGGCCGTGGAAAATTTAACCGATTTGCGGTAGCTATACGAAACACATAACGGTATATTTTCGTGTCAGAAACTGGCGATCATTGTATAACAACACTTCTCTTTAACTTCACTTCTTGGTTGTCTGTTTGTCTGCTACAAATCTTGTAATCGAAATTTAATACACTTCTACTTATCCTATCGATCTGAAATTTGCGCGCTTGCGTAAAGTTGGAGACAATGCATGAATCAAATGACAAAATAAATAATTTTAGGAATAAAAATTTTTTCCAATATAAAAAAGTAAAAAAATAATTTTGTCAGCTACAAATCTTATAATTGATATTTGACACACTTTTACCTGTCCAATTGATCTGAAATTTTGCACACTTGTGTGAAGTCGGAGGCAGTGCATGAATCAATTAAAAAAATTATATATTAGAAAAATTGAAAAATTAATTTTTTATTATTCGAAAATAAAATGAGAAATTCATTGTACATCTTTAACATTGGAGACACTTGATTCTTTAGAAGTGTTGTCTTTAAAAAGTAATTTTTAAACGTATATTATTTTTTAGAACTCATTACACAAAAAATGTCTGTGTCGCACTAATTGCGCATAAAATGGAGGGCAACAGAGCCTCATTTTACAGAGAACGACGCAGAGACTGCGTGGCGGCAACCGTGCACAGAGATCGCGCCACGCCAAACTATGATCCTGATTTCATACACATAAGTTAAAGGTGGTGTGTGTATTGACATTTAATGAGAGAGGTACTTTTCACGAACATCCCGAGTCTCTTTGCTGCGGGTTGACCCCTGTTTTTGAATTTTTAGCCATTCTCGTCATATTTAGGTTAGTTCATCTTGAGGTTCGTTCGTGTATTCGTGGTTTTTAACATGGCTGACTCTACCGCGTGCGCACACTTGCTTAGAGTTTGTTGGACGATGCTTTGGATTTCTACTAACATGAGTACATGAGGTTTTTCATGAAGGACAAATGAAGAAACTGTTGATAATTTGCGAAAACGAGTAGCCTGCAAAAAAGATTAATGAAGCTGTGTGGCACAGTGTGAAGAAGAGAGTCTAAGTACTTCAAAAACTTTTCACTGGAGAAGGCAATTGTCTGCTTCTTCTTCACATTCAACTTGAGAGCAACACCAACGTCTCGTATCATCATGTCACGTCTCGAATCGGATTGGCATGTCTCTAGGTCCTGTCATGTAAGCTGCCATACGATAGAGCGCAAAATTATCATTTCCAGATAAAATAATCATCTGGGTTTTATTTATTCCTGGGCCATTTCCTTCTTTGTCTCGTTTTGTCCCCGGAAATTCTTGGTTTCATTTTTTTTTTTCAAGAAAAAAATTCCCGTATTAATTTGGTTCCTGTATCTCTTCAATCAACTTGAATAGCGTAATTTTTAGAAATTCTTACAAAGCCTGAAAATTTTTAAATTATTTGTATTGTACCCGGTAGAATCTGGTCAGTGATAATGTATTTGAAATGAGCAAGACGACTACCTGAAAATTAATGAGAGAACTAAAAGAGTTGTTGTTTGGTACAAAGAAACAGGAAGAGAATGGAATATGGTACGTAGAACGAGTGAATGGATAAGAAAGAGGAATAAGGGAGCTGCAAGGAATGAACGATTAATTGTCGGGAGTCGTGCCTAAATGACTTATAAATGTATATTTCTTCAAGCCTTATCATTGAAAAGATTGATTTGTATTGCCGCATGCCGCAAGGCCAGACGCGCTTTCAAATAACGTAATCCGTTTACTGGGCTACTCGCTTGTAAATCTGCAAGTGATATCGAATGTTTGATCAATTATTCGTCATATCAACAAATGCCTCGATAATTCTAGGTAGTTATTAGGCTCATGATGAGACTTTCATCCCTCTTCAAGCTAAACGACCTAATTTTTCGATCTTGACGATTTTATACACATTTACACTCATTTTGTTCTGTGATCTTGCTTCATTTTGCTGAAAAAGACATTGTATTTGATCACCTGACTCACAGTTGCACAATTCACATTACCAGGTTATGCATAGCTACGCCAGCCATAAATAAAGTGTATAAATGTGAACGTTTATGTCAAATGTGTCATAAATGTAAAACGCTCCTGTCTCCATGCTAAACTTTAACCAAGCATTAGTTATCTCCTACCCCTGAAACATTATACCTGTTCAATTAATTTGTTTTCTTCTACGCCCCATTTTCACAAAGTCCGGAATCAAATAATTATCCGCCACGCACAATGGATCTTCTTTTCGCCACGTGTTCTACTTCCAACAAACCAGTTGTTCCAGCTCTTCGTGAGTTAGTCTCATTTGTGTTCTCGACTCGACTCTTCTTAGGCTTGGTCTGAGTGGCAGTGGCCTCCAGTTGACTTGCTTAATTGAGCACTGATCATTGCAGCTGTAATAATATAAAATGGCCCCAAAGAGAAATAATAAGCCAGTAAGAAACTAAGTGTAAGAAGTTATTAACTATTGTCCGATAACCCGATTTGTCTCTTGTCTAAGCTAATAAGAGAGTAAAAATTATACTATGGCATTAATTATGTTAGACTGAAAACCTTAAGGGGACCGTCTAACCCAAAAATCGAAAAATTTCACTTTTTTCGTTTTTTGGTCCATTTTAAAGCTGCTTTTCAGGCGCATAAATCGGTGTAATTGGCATCTCTGTGCGTGCGTTAGTTTGTTTTTTATTCATTTTAGTATGGTTGGTACTATTGGCCGATATCAGTGCGCGGACCTCTGACGTCGGCTCTGACGTCGCTCTATAGCCGACCAATCGAGCTGGCAATTTTGAACGGCTTGCTTCAGCGGCCAATGAGAGATATCAGGGCGGAGCTCTCATTTTTACGCATCCAATGGTGTAAGCAGCATGCCTGTGCGTGTGTTAGTTTGTACGTAATATTGTGTTTACTACGACGCGATCATTGGTTGCCGTGCTAGAGCGCTGTCGCTATCTAGCCTCGTACCAGCGTTGCAATCGTTCTGTGAGCTTCAGTGTGTTTTGAACTGTGCTACTTGTAGGTGTTGCGAGTGTTTTCTCTCTCCCCCTAAATTTTGTGCAGATTTACAGAATTCTTTGAGGTAAGATGCCGAAGCGAAAGAGGCAGAATTTTGGTAAAGTTGGGTATGTTCAACCGTGTGATCGGCGACCAAAGCCNTCGATGTTGTAGGACGATATTTGTGGGAGGAGATAGATTTTCTATAGTAACCGTTATTTTTCCGTTTTCTATGAATATCACGTTTTCTATCAATTTTTTCGAAAAATTCATAGAAGTAAAATGTTTTTATTTTTACATTTTACGTTTGAATGTGAAGTTTCATGATGATCGGATATTAACTTTAGGAGTTATAGGCTATCTCCAATTTAGGTTAGACGGTCCCCTTAAATGTATTCAGCTAACATGAATTATGAATATGATTAATTTTATGATTTTATTGCTATTATGATGACTTTCATTTTTTCCAGAAAAAAGCTTCACAGCCTTCACATCCTCCTGCACCGAACAAGATCAAGATGAAAGCCGATTCTTCATGCCTGTTGGACAATCCAAAGAAACCCACGAACCGACCTGAGAATTCAGCAGATTCAGATAGTTTGTCCCAGGAAAATGATTACCAATTGACTTATGAGCTCATGTGGTGTGTGCAGCAAATGGATGGATTAAGAACTTCTCCCAAGACCACAGAAAAACAAGGTAGGTAGTGTGCTTTACTATTTACAGTTTATAGCTTGTGTGACAGTGTGAGAATATGTGTACAGCCCTTTTGGGCCAAATCTAGCTGTCTTAGCCCTGTCTAGCACTATCTTATCATTTTTTTAGCCACAAGATTCCTGCTAGATGAATCTAACTTTTTATTTTATTGTAAACAAAGTAGACAATTCACAATTGGAGTTAGCCTATTGCTTATTGGACCAGCACCAGCACAGTAGCTCCTACCATCCAGGAGATTTCAAATGTATTGTAAATTTTTCATTTTGGAGCTGTGAGATTTCAGTAGTAAGTAGATAAATTCTAATTCTGTTGATAATTCAGCAGTAAGTATATAATAAGTAGGTAATAATTCTCTAATTCAGATTTATTCAGTAACAAGTAGATAATTTCTACTTCTTTTTATGGTTGTACCATCATCCCTAGATAAAAAAAATGTGGTCTAAAACTGAAGGCTAATAATATAATCTCATTATAGAAAAATACGGTATTTAAGTTTGATTCCCAACAAATTTTAGAAATTTTGTGGCATGGTAACAAAAAACACCTGAAGATTTGTTTGCCCAAAATATTTTCATTTATGTTCATGTTATTTTGTAGCCAATCTCATGTCATACAACTTGCCAATAGCAATGGAACTTTGGAAGTACTACAATAATAATTTACTTAAAAAAAATCTGATAGAATTAGAATATGTTATCATGTACTGCTAATTTCTGCTAAAGATGAGAAAAGTCATTTAGTTGCACTTGTTAGAGTAGAATTAGGTCTTGTCCGATGAGTGAGTGCCTAAATAATTGTTGAAAAAATATATTAAAAACCTGAAAACTGAACACAAAGCTTGGAATTTTTTTAACAGCTGCCAAATCAATAAACTCGATGATCTAAAAATCCAGTAGCAGATTGGTGTATGTACAATTCTTTGGTATGAAGGTCATTAATCTGTGTCATTATTGAGAATAGGAACAGTAAAAGTAACTTTCATTAACTTCTTAATCACATCTTGAAGACTGTGGAAATTCACACTATATATACCTAAACTCTTGTTAGTAGCTGGTTATCATAATTCATAGAGGCATGATGATGCAGCTCCCTTAACACGTTCCCCGCGTATCCAGATTTCCCCAGTATTCCCTTATTGCGGAAGGCTTTCAGTGATTGCTGCTTCAGTTAGGCGCCATTGGCCGTGACAAGAGGAGGTGTGTGCTGCTCTGTGGCATCATAGCTTTGCATAGCTGCAATAAAAATGTTGGGACACATGTGGTACATTACGCAAGGAAATAATAACCACATGTTATTCTTGCGTATTGTACCACCGGTGTACCAAGTATTTATAGAGCCATATATGTACCATAATAGAACAGAACGGAATAGAAGGGAATAGCAGGGAATAGAAAGGAACAGAAGGGAATTGAAGGGAACAGAAGGGAATAGAAGGAAATAGAAGGAAATAGAAGGGAATAAAAGGGAACAGAAGGGAATAGAAGGGAATAACGGAATAAAAGGGAATAGAAGGGAACAGAAGGGAATAAAAGGGAATAGATGGGAACAGAAGGGAATTATTAGTTAAAATTTTCACAGTTACTTATCGTTTGTTCAAGGAGATTTACGAATAAAATTTTGGTTCATTGATTTGTTTTACTTAATAATCCACTTTTTGAGTGAACATTAATATTATAAAAGGGAAAGTTTAAGGGCAAAATTTCGAGTTAAATGTGTTTTTTCAAAACGGCGTAAAATACTGTGTTTGGTACACTGGTGTCCCAATACGCAGCAGTGGAATATCACTGTTGGTACACATATGGCCCAATACGCGGGGAACATGTTAAAAACTTACATAGGAATTTTGGTTTAGATATGATAATTTTTTTATTACTAGACATTAATTTCATTAAAAATTAAAATCAAGCTAAATTATTGCATTGTTGACTTTAGTTGTTTATTGTGTAAATAATATATATTCAATCTATTCCATCGCGTTTGTCACTATGTTGCCTAATTAATTATAGCCAAGTTTGCAAGACACATGAGCAGCAGTGAGCCGATCATCATTTCTAATAGTCCAACAAATAATGACAAATCGTTATGGCCATCAAATGTGAGGGCAAGTGTATTCAAGTAGAAAATCTGGGATAAAATTGGTGTTCAGTTGAAATGGTTGATTAGAAGCACCTAATTTCTTTGAATTGTATATTTTTGGGCTTTGAAATACCTATTCAATCAATTGCTATTGAATTGTAAAGAATTTTCATGACATTTCATACGTATACATTTCAATAAGTTTGAATTTAACCCTTTGGCAGGCAATTTAAAATACTTCTTTGCTCATAAAAAAAAACACATCTCCTGGTTTGTCTTGCATGTTAAAATACCTACAGGCATTTGAAAGAAAATTGTTACTACTGAAACTGACTCATTAGGATGCATTTTCTTTTTTTGAAAGAAGCAATAACTCTTCAGCTAGGTAATATCAGTAACATCATGATATTGAATCATATGGAGGTTTGATGTTTTATTTTAAGTGTTGCATGCCTCACTTTACATAAATATATGACCTTACTAGGAGTGACTCTATTTGTTAGTTAAATACCTACTTCTACTCAGATTTGCCCCATTATGTGAAGTTTTTGAGAAATGCTCATGAACAGAAATATATTAAAATTCTTCATACTTTTTTGTACTAGCCTCTGAAATTTAAATATGCATATCCCCCTGCTGAAGAATTTTGTGATATTCCTAATTCATTATTGTTGCTTTTATCTACAGCCTTTGAAGTTCGTAAAGCAATGAAGTCTTTACTGAATGACAAGACTCCACTTATCAAGAAGCGCCAATTGATGCGCTTGTATTGTGGGGACTATCGCAAGAAGATGGCTGAAGATGATGAGAAGCAGAGACAAGGTGAGCATTGATTCTTGCTTTACCAAAGCTGAACAGAAATTGATGTTCATGTAACGTTACTTCAGAAAATTATTGTATTGAAAATAGTTGTTGGTTTAAAATCATTGCATTCTGAATGGAACCTATGTTGTTCGAAAACTCAATCATTGAAGACCAACATTACAAAATCTCTGACAAATTTCTCAGCATCACTGAGAATCATCATTTTCATCAGCCTATTAAACACATTGCTTTTTACGTAGCGCACCAGAGCTTTCTTATAAGAGGCAAGACGTTCCTACTCCGCGCGTAATGTGGTGAATAATTTATGCCCAATCCTTATTTGTGTGTCATGAGTAATCTTGTTTTTTTTTTCAGCATTGCCCTGTTTGGCTAGACAACCTTCAATCCCAAGCTCTTCCCACTGCTTCAGGAAAGCCACGTCAGTAAGCAGAGAGCCTCTAAACGATGACGGCGCGTTATCTTCGAGCATCAATTCCTTAGGCCTCGACTCGCATAATTCACCATCAATTACAGAGGAGTCCAGTCCAGGCGAATGTGATAGCCGTACAACTATACGATCTTCTTCGAGCGTTGCTAATTTATTCAAAAATAGGTCTAACAATAGTTTCTCCTTCAATTTCGATTTAGCAGTTGGGAATTGATTTCACTCCTCAATAAAACGAGTTATTTTTTCGTACTACGACAGTCTAAGTTGTTTGATTCTTTTATTATAGATACAAAGGAAGTTCATTTCCAATGGAGGGGCCAATTATTGTTATACGCTTCCTTCGGGTGCACAGATTTCCATGAACAACAATATTAGAGTCATTGTTCTTTATTATGATACAATTTATGTTGGTCAACAATAGAGAAATTTTAAATTTTTTTAGCGAGAAAAGTGCCAAAAGGTTCTTCTATATTTGTCAATTCAAGGAGAGAAAATATCATTCAGCCATAGAAAATTTTATAGAAAATAATTTCAGGTTTAACAAAGGGCTTACAAAAGTACATTCACTACAAACCAACCTAAAATCACTGGACGAGATTCATGTGATAAATAACTGATAAACATCAACAGTCGATATCGTCAAATGTGGCAGCTCCCTACAACAATTTCTGAAACTGTTCATGAATAAATGTCGAAGAAATGCAATACGCGAAGGTTAAGAAACCCCAAACCCGACACCATCATGCAAGCGCAGCGGTATGAAAGTGTCATCTGACAAAGGGCAGCTAAAGTTTTCAAACTACTCATGTAAGTGATACTCGCCCTTCTCTAACTATTCGAAGTTCTAAGAAAAAGATGAGCGAACAACGAGAAAATCTAAATGTGGGACAAATCAACCAACGCACTACATGACCAAACATCAGAGACGTTTTGTAACTACTTCTAGTCAACAAGTTCGGCAAGCAAGGAAATGATACAAACTAGGACAACCATTAGACCAATGCAACATAATGTGATTCTCTTGCAATAACGAGAACTTGATTCGGTAGCTTCAACAAAAGTTGACTAAAAAAAGAGCATAGGAAAAGCTAACAAGACTTCCAAAATGAGTACAAAACATTCGGAAATTATTTACCCAGAAATTCCTATTTCTTGATTGTAAAAGAATTTCAAACTTTTAATTTGGTCTCAATATTGCAACATACCTGCATGCATTAAATCGAATTTAGGGCATTCGAGTGATATGGCATACAAGTTCAAGCCATAATAGAATATCCTTGATAAATGTGGCTAAACAACTTCATTGAAGTGGCAAGGCAAAGTTCAGGATAAATGCACAATGAATGCCTTTTCAACGCAGAAAGAGAAGTTTGACAAGGTCGAGATGTTATGCCAACATTCAATAAGATGTCACGAAAATCATCTAACTGAGAATCCTATACGCAAGCTTTTATAGAAAGCTATTAGAATAGCTAGCATTAGGAACGCTTATGGTTCAATTACTAGAAGAGAAATGCGAGTTCTGTGTTTCAATAATTAAATTAAAACCAACCTTAATTTATCCATAAAGAAGAGGATTAAACTATGAAGCACTGCAGCGTCACATTCCGAATGCAAAATTAAATTTTATAAACCGATAGGAAAAAATCGAACAAAAGTTATATAGAGCTGAAATGCAAGTACCGAGTAGTTGCGATGAAATATTAAAAGGGAAGATAACAAAAAGATAACGTGATGGGAAGAATAGAACTAAGTGAAAACAAGACGACAATTGCATTCCTTTCTTAGCTGGAAGAATTCTACCCATGAAACGTTATCAACGCGGGATGTAGTCAACAGTTAATAGCACAACACTGAACAGCGTTGAACCGAGAGAGCAACGGATGAACTCTGCAAACTGTTGTAATAGAAGACAATGTTAAATAGAGCCCAGGATTCACGATAACGAAAAGTTCAAGAGTGCCCAGTTTTTAACCACAGTTCAACAGTTTTCGAATTCGTTTCATGGTGGAGATGTAGTAAGCTCAGCTATCTCCAGTTAATCCATTAGCCTCGGCATCCGCTCCACCAGCACCCGTTCCCTCGACGCACTTCCATAAGCCGTAGGTCTTGCCAACCGTTGTCTGCCACAGACGCAGTGTGCCGTCTTCGCTTCCTGATGCATACAACTCGCCATCCGGACTGAATCTGCAATATTCATTTGTTTTTATCGGTGTAAATTGTAAACCGATCGCTTTTTAATAATGGGATAATTGAAAAAAATTGGCCACAGAATAACTGTATACGGAACTAGTTTGTACGCGTTTTGTTTGCCTTCTTGTTCAGTTATGAGGTTATTTTGTGTTGGAACGGCACAACGGAATCGGGGAACTCACAGCGAATAATCTTTTCATATGAATATCAGATTCTATGCAGAATTCAATTCAAGAAAGATTCATTAGTTTTTAAATACCTAAACTATGAGAATCTTTGTTAATTATGAAACGCAAAAAGGACTACTAATCTTAAAGATCTTATCTATTTGACAGCAACTATAAACTAAGTTTTTAGATGACTCGTAACTCCGGATATCGAAAGATAAAAAAAATACACCATGAATTTTTGTAGGCCCTTACTGACGCGGCAAAAAGTTTTCAAATCAACTGAAATGAAAATTATTCCGGTTTCTCAGAAAAATAGTATAGCTTCTTATTGTGATGACGTCTGTACAACAGTCAAACGATCTTAAAATATCCACAGAAAAATGTGCAAAATTTCAACTTTTTTCAATTCATTTCAAAGAGAATAGAAGCCAATTCTTTGGCAAGTACTAATTTTGAAGGATAAGTAAATACCTACAATCAGGGCACGAGCCTGGGAACAAAGTTTGGGCGATAGAGTATAATGTGAACATAAAAATCAAGACACAAAAAATGGATTTCTTACTCGTCTCTCACCTCACGCAATGAACAGGCCCGAAATGCCCTTTAAATGAGTCGAGCTCCTCCAGCGTGTCGAAGTTGTACTTGTACATCTTGAAGTCTTCACCACCACAAATAAAAACAGACTGATCAGGGTGGAGAGACGCCGAGTAAAGAGTGGCTGGCAGCACAGCACTCTTCAACTCCCGCAGCCTGTCAAATATATTGTTTAATTAGTCACTTCCGCAAACAACAGAACTGATTGCTCCCTATTAACGTTTCATTCACTTTTAAATTTATATAACAAGAGAGCTCATAAAATTGTAATTAACTTACAACTTGAAACCACACAGACCCAATCATGTTCAATTATTATTATAGTGGCAATTTATAACTCGCATAACAAGCTTGATGGTGAATTTTGTTTAGATAACAAAGCATCGTGATGATATTTGGACACTTTAAGTATAGTGTCAGTACTACGTAAGAAATGGAGGCGGCAACTCACGTGGAGGTGCTGTAGAAGCTAACTTTATTAGCGTACGTAACAGTTAGGACACAACCGTCGGCTGACAACTCCAAGCCTGAAGCCGAGCTGCTCAGATCAAGCTTCAGGATCTCCTGTAGTCATAAAATATGTAAATTCCAAAGAGTTGTGAACAATTCAGAGCGTTGATAACTGAAAATAACTGAAAGCAAATGTATTCCAACAGTCGGCGGCTAGTTTGTCTGTTATGAACGAAGAAAATGAATAGGTACTGCAACAAGAATATTACAGGTATTGAAAGAAGTACTTTCGACATTGCATGACATGCAATAAATAATTCTGAAAAATTGTATTTGAGCTCCGACCTGTTTTGAAGTTATGTCCCAACACCGCACAGTCTTGTCATCAGCACAAGAGAAGAGTTTGGTACCTTCACTGTTGTAAAGACAATGCTTGATGCTGGCCTCGTGCCCACTGAACACAATGGGGTCTGTAACAGCACAATATTGAGTCTTAGATCGCGTAGATACCACACATGACTAATAAAATCGAGTAACAACAGAATTTCCTGCACATGAATGTATTTTCATGCAATCATCGCCCAATAGGTGACTTAACTTAGTGAGCTCAATCAGAACAATTCAATAGCAAAAAACGTACTACTTGGCTTTCATGCACATGTAATAGTGAAATGAAAAGAAGCAGAACAGAAAAAAATTTATCAAACACAGGAATGATGGCTAGCTGTAACATACCATAGTCATCAGTTTCTTGGCTAGTGCATTCACCTTGCTCAGGCTTGTTAAGGTCAATAATTTTTAATTGCTTACTTCACTCACCTTGCTCAGACTTGTTAAGGTAAAAAATTTTTAGTTGCCTACTTCACTCACCTTGCTCAGGCTTGTTAAGGTCAAAAATTTTTAGGAGTTTCTCATTGGATCCTGTCAGCATTTGATTCGAGTCGGGGGAGAAGTCAACACTTTTAACAATATGCGAGTGAGAAAAAGAGTGCAGCTCCTCTCCTTTCATGGCATCCCATACCTATTAAACATAAATATATAGTTTACAAAAGAACTATAGGTAGAAATTAATTTTTCAGAGTTAAACTAACTCAAATTGCTCTTCTTTTAAAACACCGATTGTGAACTAATTTCTGAATATTACATAGAAATTCATTCAATAATTTTCCATCTGGCTTGATTTACAAGCCAAAATGGTTTAATTAACAGTCCAAGCAACACCAAGGAATTACCTACTTCAACTCGTTGAGAGATTTATCACAAAAAGTATTTTTGATTAAAAGAGACCTTAGCAGAGAAGTCAGCAGCAGCTGTTCCAGCTCGTGTAGCTTGGCTGTTGAGCGCCACGCCCCAGACAGCTCCTTTATGGCCCTCGAATGTTCCGATCCAATCACCAGTGTTGCCCTGGCGCAGCATTGGCTTACCATCTGTTGGAAATAAGTCAATCATAAACTTTAGTAAAATATGGAAATGGTTACCTATTCCTTTACAATGAAACAAAATTAATAATACATTTTGCCATAATAATTTATGAATTTTTATCCCTAAAAATTGAAACTAACTTTGTGAACAATCGTAAAACTGAAATGTAAATAATTGACAAGAAATATGTCACAAACACAAATTGACCAAACAGAAATAGGTATACTTTATTATTAAAATATTTATTCATTGCAGAATCTTTACCTTTGCATGCAGATATGAGGTAATAGCCATCAGGACATAATTTGGAGAAGGCAAGATGAACAACAGGTCGAGTGTGGCCACTGCAGGTCAAAGGAGTTTGTCGCAGAGAAGAAGTCATGGTAATTCAGATGACAGCTAATACCAGGAAGAGAGTCGGCACCTGCAATAAAAAATAAGATTTAGTTAACATCAATTTAGCAATCCTAAAAACATCAATACAAGTCACAGGTAAATATAAATAATACATTAAAGAAATATTTTAAGCAAATATATAAATATAATCCACAAATTTTCAGGAGAAGCATAAACAACTGGAGTAACCTTGACCAAATTTGTAAAGAATTTTAGCATCATTAGGCTTTTTTCAACAGCTTTGGCATGACTTTGAAAATTGGGTATTTGCACAACTCAGGACAAGCATGAAAAGAAAATAATAGGCATTGGCTGGACTCTCCCCAGACGAGAGAACAGATTTTGATATAAAAAACAAAGTATTTCAATGAGAATTATAATCAATGTATAGTGCATTGTAGTCAAAATTTACAAGTTTCCAGCCAAATGAATCTTACTACAATTAGCAATAGGTTGAGGGACCAAAACCAAAATTTGAACAAAACTATGTTGCAAGCAATTGTAGACACATCAATATAGTAGACATAAATTCGTTTTTTTTTTCTTATTCTAGTACAGCAGTACAAAAAAGGTAACAACAGAAAGTGGCACCTTATGCTTACACATTATTGACAGAAGTGCAAATAAGATTTGATTTGGCATGTCAGATTTGTTAGTATTATTTTTTTGTGTGTCTCTAAAAATGCAGTTTCTACACAAAATTTGCTGAAAAAAAATCACCAAAACACTTTTCTTTGACAGCTGAAAAAATATCACAGCTTGGAATAAAATTAAAAGATGGTAATTTATATGAATTTCTACAAAAATCTTGCTGCTCTCCAATTGGAAAAATTTTCCAAAACCATTAGTAAAAACCCTTAATGTAATGAGAAGCTTTACAAAATTTGCTGACAGATAGTATGTGCTATTTTTCTAATTTTGTTATGAAATAATATAGGCAAGGGCCATAAAATTGGATAAAACTGATTGCAAGCCTAACTGGAAATTTCTATCTCTGACAGACATAATTTTCTTACTTGTGACAGAATTAGGCTTTGCATACAACAATGGGTTTGGGAGGAATATCCTATGTCTTGCCACAACATTGATTGATTCTCCAAAAGTTTGCTTAACTTCCTTCCTATTTAAAAAGTTTTGGTACATTTAATATGTACAGTCTTTACTGCCTATGTAAAACTTCGATGTTGACCTGCTCCACTGTGCAGAAAGTGGGTGAATGTCACAAGATCTTTGGTGATGCATCAGTAGCAAAATTTATGCCTTCAGAAGATCTAGCCAACACATTTGGATTGAAATTGTTGCATTTTAGATATTCACCAGTTGTCAGTCAACTATTTAGAAAATAGTTGAAAATCTGAAAGACCGCAGGAGGTGCATGCAGTGAATAATGAGAACAATAATAATTCTAGACCTAAGAAATGGTTGCTAGGATGTAGGGTTCATGATAGCTTTGTTGATATGAGCACAGTTGTCAACATGTGATTGAAATTTGTCAACATTTGTTTAACAGCTGTCAACATCTGATTAACAGCTGTTAACATCTGATTAACAGCTGTCAACATTTGATTAACAGCTGTTGACATTTGATTAACAGCAGAAACATTTGATTAAAAGCTGTCAACATTTGATTAACAGCTTTCGACATTTATTTAACAGCTGTCAACATTTGATTAACAGCTGTCAACATTTGATTAACAGCTGTCAACATTTGATCAACAGCTGACAACATTTGATCAACAGCTGTCAACATTTGATCAACAGCTGTCAACATTTGATCAACAGCTGTCAACATTTGATTAACAGCTGTTGACATTTGATTAACAGCTGTCAACATTTGATTAACAGCTGTTGACATTTGATTGATAGCTGTTGACATTTGATTAATAGCTGTTGACATTTGATTGACAGCTATTGCTTTTGGTGGTGAGATTCATTTCCCCCATCAAACTTTGTATAGATTTTCTTCCCTAATTGGGATTGCCTGTTGCTTGACCAAGTTCAAATATATTTAAATTAATATTTTAGGAATTCTGCAGAATTACTGGCAATTTTTCTACTTCAAAATTTTGTGATGAAGTTTGAACAGGCACATTAATAACTCTAACATCCTATTTCTTCTGGTAAGGATTGCAATCAAAGGCATTTCATCTCATTTATAGGTGTTTTTTTGCTAGCTTTCCAAGAAATTGCAGCTCTTACTGGCCTAGATTAAATTTTCCTACTTGTCTTCAAAATTTTGCAGCTACACCTACAAGGAGACAAATTTTTTATCCATTTAGAATCTTGCAGCCCTGATTGTACAGTTTTTACAATTAAGTAGAAGATAATTTATCAATCAAAAATCTTGCAACCAAAGTGGCAAACCAGAGATTTTTTATAATCAGTTAATTTCTAATTTCCTCATTTATTCAAGAGCTGCATATCTTATTAATGATAAAGCTAGCACCCATGAAATAGTGGTGGTCTACTTATAGGTATTATTACATTAGGAATATTGGAGTAATTGGACAGAACTTTTCTAGAATTGCTGGTAAAAATAATCATTTCATCATGAGTGATTTTAAAAATCACAGGTAAAATAGGCCATTTTTCTTTTTTTTTTTACTGAAAAAGTTGAGTAAAAGCCATGGTCAGGAAGATGTGCCAGGTGCGCGGGAATTTATTTTGTCATTTTAACGACCTGCGCGGTGCGCCGTACTATGCTGGTAAAAAATGCGCCGTGCTTTAGAAAGCTAAAATAGTTCTACTATTTTAGTCGACAATATACACGAGTATATTAACTACGCGAGTTGAACTGACAATAATAAAATGTAAGACATGTCCGGGTTACTTCTGACTCTTCCGCTTGTCCGCCTTGTCGGATACGGAACGTACGGTAATCGTAAACTGCGGCTATCATACATACAAAATGTAAACAGACGGTGTTTACTGTTGCCATATGACTTTGGAGAAAATTTCTTCTAAAATAAAGTTCTAGATTTCTCATTCACCAAATTTCCATATCAAGAAAAATCATATATTATTGAAAGATAATTAAAGGCAAATGCAGGCATACTGTACTGAGTAATGTGAATATTACGTCCGTTCCTCCACAAACTGCTCGTGCGCGGCAGCGCGACGTAGAATTGATGGCCGGGATTGCGCAAACACGTGCGTGAAGAGAATCAATTTTCATTACATTGCGCCAACTGTGCACAGCAATAGCTTAAAAAAAGTGAAAATGTGCGGGAAAATTCACCAAAAACATACATCATCCTGAGTGTAGAGTAAAAGCCATTGGAACAGGTAAAATTGGCCAGAGCCGCCAGATTCATGGCATTTTTGTCTGATTCAAGGCTGGCTCCAGTCCAATTCTAAGCTTTTGATGTGGCTAAGTTTTCTCTTCATCCCTTGGCTTGTCTGTGTTATTTATACTGTGTATCTAGAAAGTAATTACCAAAAAATGTTGTTAGCATTTATTCATGTGACAGAGTCAAGAGAATTTTATCTATGTTCTTCTTCCAATATCTAAAATAATCTTTTGTCAACAACCAATGTAAAGTCTCATGTAGATTTCAGATTAGCCTTTCCCTTTGCCAATTGCCTTTAGGTAGGTACACATACAAATACAATTAACCAAGTTTAAAAATATTTCATGTGTAATTTCAAGACTCAGGAGTGTATGCAATTCTGACTTTTTGCATCACCGGTCAGGCTGTCCAGTAACAAGGATTGAATAATGAGATAGTAATAAACTCAAATTGAGATAAATAACAAATAAAACTTATACGTACAAACGGTACAAGGAGTTAGGAGCTGAAAGACAAAATTACATTTACAAGAACTCCTACCTACTTAGTTTTAAGTGTGAAATTACACAGCAAAACAAACAATATTAATTGGTACACAACGATCATAATCGGTTAATGTGACAAAATTTAGAAAATTAGAATTAGTCGTACAAAATTACGCAACATATAACGCATGCTTACGTTAGAAAAGGACCCAACGCAGCCGCAGCAGCGAATAAGACAGGGTCGACCACAGGAAGACAGACGTGAAGTGAAAGCAGCTGGTAAGGAAGTACCGTTATCCGCACCCAATAGCCGGGTGTTTACGGACTGAGTGACTGACAGCGGTCGGTAAAAATATACGCTCATGATGTAAAATACTAAATCATGTGTCGCGTCGGAATCTTCCTAGATAGTCACCTGAGTTAAATTTATTTCTTTCAATTATACAAAATAAGTGCTGCGTGTAGTAACTGTCCTGAGGAGCTGATTATTATTCGTAATTCGTGCCTAGATGCTCACAGGTTAACTGGCTTACAATGTCGTCAATATCAATTGCATCGGCAACATAAGAGCATGACGATTTTCTAAACTATAATTTTTTAAGCCTTATCCATTTGATAACTTAATCTATAATTGCGGAAGTTTGTCATTTCTCGATAATTGTTCCTCATTTTTTGTGGGAAGCGAGTTCACCGTCACAGTGAATACTGCTGGATTCATGGACATGAATGAAGTATTTTACCATCCACATGTGGATTACATGGACGTCGGTCTCGTGTGGTTTCAATTATTGCTCTTGCTCGCTTCAATTGATTTAGTTTGGTTAGTGATACATTTCCATCTTCACTTCCGACATGAACATTTCTTGTACAGGCAGGTAGATAATAAATAATACTTTTACTTGATAGATCTGTCTGGGCTGACACGGTTAATGTACTGTATAGTATAGTATAGTATAGTATAGTATAGTATAGTATAGTATAGTATAGTATAGTATAGTATAGTATAGTATAGTATAGTAGATGTATTAACTTGCGTTTCAATATGCCTATAAAATTTTAGCTCCTTGTCGACACAAACTCCAAGATCTTTTTCCACGCAAGACTTCTCAATCATAACCCTCTCGTTGCAACGGTGTCTTCTCATGCTGTAAGCTTGCTGTTCGTTGTTCTTGCCGAGGTGAAGTACTTTACACTTGTCAGCATTGAAACGCAGCTGCCACGCATCAGCCCAGTCAACTAAACTATCAAGATCATTTTGCAGTTGCATTTTATTTGACACATCCTTAACTGTATTATAAACTTTTGTGTCATCGGCATACATGGAGCACACGCTTGACACTACTTCTGGTAGATGGTTTATAAAAGCGACGAACAAAACAGGTCCAAGAACGCTTCCTTGCGGTACGCCACTGCGCACAGTTACCCAGTCTGATACGGTTCCGTTAATGCTGACACGTTGTCTTCTGCACGGTTCCGTTAATGCTGACACGTTGTCTTCTGCCTACTAGGAAATTCCTGATCCATTGGAGTACATTTCCCTCGATTCCCAAAAAAATTCACTTTACGTAACAGTCGCTCATGCGGAACACTGTCAAATGCCTTGGCAAAATCGAGGTACAGTGTATCTACTGGCACCCTTTCATCCAGCAGGCGAGTCCAATTATTCAAGGTAGACAGGAGATTAGTGGTGCATGATCTGCCAGCAATAAAGCCATGCTGACAGTCTGATAGAAGATGGTTAACAGTCAAGTGATCTATAATCCCATCCCTCATAACCGATTCCATCACCTTACACACAACACTTGTGAGACTTACAGGACGGTAGACAATCAATTAAATGTGATCAATTAAAGAAAATTTTTCAGGTGGAGAATAATTCTCGTGAATTTTGCACACTTGTGTAAAGTTGGAGACAATGCATAAGTCAATTGACAGAATAAATCATTTTGAAAATGTAAAAAAATTTATTTATGATAAAAAATGGAAAAAAATTGTCTGCTACATAACTTATAATCAATATTTAACACACTTCTACCTGTCCAATCGATCTGAAATTTTGCACACTTGCGTAAAGTCGGAGGCAACGCATGTTTCAATTGACAAAATAAATAATGTTGAAAATTTTCAATTTTTGTTCCAATATTTAAATAAAATGAAATATTCGATTTTTTAAAATTTCATAATAAAATTAGAAATTCATTGTACATGTGTAACACCGTAGACACTGGATTCTTTAGAAGTGTTGTCTTTAAAAAGTTTTTTTTTGTGCTGCATCTATACGGAGACAACAAGTCTCCGCTCATGCCAGAGCGTTAATTGTAAGGAGCTGATGTCGCGTTTAGCGCTTATCTCGCGTTGTTTAGCACTGCCCAGTATTGGTCGCATCATAGCATATACAGTAACTACACACAAAGAAAATAATAACGAACATAGCAGGTAATTACGAACATAGTAGATAATTACGAACATAACAGGTTATTACGAACAACATTTCTTTTGATAGCTTAGCCATTGTTATATACATGGACAAGGTTTTTTTTTTTAATTTGATTGGTGAAGAAGTCAATGCTCGATTTCAAGGTAACGTTAGTTTCCAGAAATAGACATATTTGATAATAAAGTGATCATCATTGCAATATAGTTATACTTGCTCCCTAGTTTGCCCATTGGAAAAGTGTCCTCTTCAGATCACGAACATTGATGTTTTTTGCAGCCAAGGCAGGTTCAATTCTTGTTTGAACTTGCTGCCTTTGTAAATGCGATCAAAAAATCAACTTGCGATCAATAAATAAAATAATTCAAATTTCAGGATTGACTTTAATTTCATATCTTAAAATTGAGAAGCCTATTATTATTGGACACTTCGGGTCTGTTGAATAAATAAGCGAATGGAACTGTGATGAGCGTAGTCATGATACCAGCTGTATGGCTTTATATCGGTCTCGGATATCCCTCCTGGAATCGAGCTTAGGTCTGAGACAGCAAAGCGATCGCAGACCTAAGCTCGATCCCAGGAGGGATCGCTTCCAAGTGGTTGTCGAGCTCCGTGAGAACATTCTCCATCGACTACATCCATTGTTGCTACACACTTCCGTGAGGATCTTGCCTCTCAGAGCGAGGCAGAATCTGGTAAGGGTTTCGGTCGTCAAAAGCTAACGAATTTTATTTCCTAAGCTCTTTTTATAACCTTTGATCGTTTTTCGCCTTTCGTTCAGCTCCAATCCTCTACGTGTAGCGTCAAGAGCCGTTTTCAATGCTCTATCGATTTCTGCACCGATAGCTTTCATAGTGCTGTCGAAAGACTTGATTGAGTTCATCTCAGGGTGACGTAACAGTCTTCGAAGGGTTGTGTCCAAAGAGTTTTGCAAGTAATCCTATCCCCGCCTTAACTGCACCTTAGTTTTCAACATCTTGGGGCGGCTGCGGATGAGGATAGGCAGACTGTGTGGGCACCTGCTGAGACCACAATCTGTTGGGGCGACATGTGAGCCCGAGCTTCGCTCTCACTGGAGTGCGTGGCAGATGCTCATCTCCTCGACCAGTTACTACGGTCCAGAGTGAACTCCTGAGATGATTGGAGGTTATTCATAGTTGAAGAAATTTGTAGCTGCGTTATTCTAGAAGATTTTTTCTTATTGTAAGAAGGTTATCCCCACTACTTGTCGGAATAGTACCTGTTGTAAGGCCTAGCCAGTCAAGTTAGAGCACTTTGTCTCTGGTGTCTCTGCGAGGCTGACTGAGCTATTATAGGCTGCAGTACGCTATTCTCAGGTACGAGTGCATTTGGATTAGTGCTCTTCAATAAGTGTCTCTGAATTATTGTATTTTGGATTATTAAATTATCTTTCTGTATTGTTCATTTCGACGTGTATTTACTTGTGTAACTTATTTGTATCGGCAGGACAGAGCGAAGTCCTTCTCCTCTCAGGAGTCTCTCCATAGTCTCTCTGTAGTTAAATAGTCTAGTTATGATCACGATACTAAGCTTTTGGAATTTACTGAACAAATATACAAACTATTTATCCATCAACTGAATCCGACATCATCACACTTATGTTGCCATTAAAAGTGTTCGCGAAATCCGCGACCGATATAGATACAGCTGGTTTCATGACAACTCTCATCACAGTTCCATTCGCTTATTTATTCAACAGACCCAAAGTGTTCAACAATTTCGTGACCGTATACTCAATTCAAGATATGAAATTAAAGTCAATCCTGAAATTTGAATTATTTTTATTCGCAAGTCAATCGCAAGTTGATTTCTTGATCGCATTTACAAAGTCAGCAAGTTCAAACACAAATTGAACCGGCCTCGGCTGCAAAAAAACATCAATGTTCGTGATCTGAAGAGGACACTTTTCCATTGGGCAAACTTGGGAGCAAGTATAACGATATTGCAATGATGATCATTTTATTATAAAAACTGTCTATTTCTGGAAACTAAGGTTACTTTTAAATCGAGCATTGACTTCTTCACCAATCAAACTAAAAAAATATATATAACTCAGTACTCACTGCAGTGAGTGACAGAGAGCGCATTTTCTCGTCGACGAAAACGTGGTCACGGATGGACGGACGGACAGACAGACGGACGGACAGACGGACGGACATGACGAGCACAATAGCGCCTTTTTTCCATAAATGAGAAAAGGCGCTAAAAAACCTTGTCCGTGTATTTAACAATGGCAAAGCTATCAAATGAAATGTTGTTCGGAATAACCTGTTATGTTCGTAGTTATCTACTATGTTCGTAATTACCTGCTATGTTCGTTATTAGCGCATTTTCTCATTTATGGAAAAATGCAATATTGTGCTCGCCATGTCCGTCTGTCTGTCTGTCTGTCCGTCCGTCCGTCCGTGACCTCAAGTTTTCCTCGACGAGAAAATGCGCTCTCTTTCACTCACTGCAGTGAGTACTGAGTTACATTTTACTTTCTTTGTGCGTAATTACATGCTATGACGCGACCGATACTGGGCAGTGCTAAACAACGCGACATAAGCGCTAAACGCGACATAAGCGCTAAACAACGCGACATAAGCGCTAAACAACGCGACATAAGCGCTAAACAACGCGACATATAAGCGCTAAACGCTACATCAGCTCCTCACAATTAACGCTCTGGTGTGAGCGGAGACTTGTTGTCTCCGTATAGATGCAGCACAAAAAAAAATAATTTTTAAAGACAACACTTCTAAAGAATCCAGTGTCTTGGGTGTTGCACATGTACAATGAATTTCTAATTTTATTATGAAATAAAAAAATTAAATTTTCAATTTTATTTTTAAAATTAAAAACAAATTTATAACTTTTCAAAATTATCTATTCCGTCAATTGATATACGCATTGTCTCCGACTTTACGCAAGTGTGCAAAATTTGCAGATCGATTGGATAGGTAGAAGTGTGCTAAACATCGATTATAACTTATGTAGCAGATAAAATTATTTTTTCCCATTTTTTAATATCAAAAATAAAAATTTTCAAATTTTCAAAATTATTTATTCAGTCAATTGATTCGTGCATTGTCTCCAACTTTACACAAGTGTGCAAAATTTCAGATCAATTGGAGAGGTAAAAATGTGCTAAATTTCGATTATAAGATTTGTGGCAGACAGACAAACAAACAAGAAGTGAAATTAATGAGAAGTGTTGTAAAAACGACGTTTTTCCTATTAGCTTGCTCATATTTATCTTCAAAAATTCCAACTTTTGAGATGCCTTTCTTCTCTTGGCTAATATATAAAATTATTATATTAATGTCATCAGATTAGAATGGCTTATTGTTCGAAAGAAACACGACAAATATGATATAATAATAGACTAGAACTCCAACTTTGCATAAACCTTGCGAAAATGCAACCTTATGGCATCAACGACTTTCAGAACATAAAAAGTTACCAAGTAATAGTATAGTATAGAATCTTCGGCAATGAAGAATAGGCCTGGATAGGCCTTTGCCGATCCTTGTATTTTTCTTGACTAGACTGGCCTTTTGATCAAATCTTTTCAACGGACGGTAGATTTAAAATTGTTTTAAGATTTCAGTTGTTTTGTATAGGATACGAGGAATTTCAAGACTAAACATATGCTCCTGCATGGCCTTTGTCTAGTCTGTCTAGAAATAACCAAAAACTATCACATAAAATTTATGTTTATTGCTTGAAAACATTGATATGATCTACATCCATCACATTCACTAATTTCATTCTAATGTCATTGCTATTCGGTTCGTTAGCGAAAAAGATTTTTTTATTTTATTCAGCTTAGCCATAGAGCCTAAGGACGACAGATTCCCTGAACAATGAGATTTTGCTTCTACTTCAAAATATTTTCAATAAACTTGCCTTGATTTTCTTAAATTATTAAATTATTCATCGAATAAGGGAAGCTTTGAGTAAGCTACATTGTGCATGGCAGTCTGGACCATCATGGATAAGCGGATTGAAATGGAAGATTGGAATTTAAAAATTATTGCACACGCTTCTGAAACTTGGCTTCAAGCTATAGATTACAAATGTAACAAAATGATTTCGATTAACTTTCTCATTTCTTCAGAAAAATTTACTTGGATTGCTTCAAAAATAACTATTCCCGAAACCAACAGTTAAACATTGCATTTTCATTCACAGAGGATTTTCAGGTTGTCCCGCAGAACAATTTGCATGCATAAGCACCTTTTTAAACAAGAAACCTATCATCCAAATAATTTTCAATATTATAAAAAATTAAAGGTGTTCTTATAAATTTATTGCCAGCATGAACCACATATGGGGAGTTATCTATTTTTAGATTCCTGATTTTGTGATAATCATCCCAGATATTTAAGGTGCTACGCGCCAACATGACAGTCTTGTCTTTCTTGAGACTTTAGACAACTGTTAGGATTTATTTGGGATATTATCGTAATATATGTTCTAAAATAACTACGGAGTAAGAAGAGAAAGAGGAACAGAGGGACTGCTGGAGGTTTGAATTGAAAGCTCCGATTTTTACCTCAACCATGGCAGCGAGTTGTTGCTTGGTGGTCATATACCTACATGCTTCTCTATCGAAGTGGTTATGCCATTATGTGTAAAATTAAGTTTATTACAGTGAGAATGTGAGACTAGGATACAAATATAGAAATTTAAGACAGACGATAGCTTTTGAATAATGTATTTCAAAGAGTGGAATACTTCACGCATGTAGGGAATTGCCAAAATTTTTTTAGATTCATTTGCAGAGAAGCTATCAGCCTAACAGCTTATATATTGATTCATTAGCCTATTTCATCTGTAGTCATATTGTAAAATAATCTATTGTTATCTATCTTGCAGTTCCGCGAATTCTGCGTTTTAAATTTATGAAGGAATATTTACTAAATCCTTTTATTCACCACCAAGGTCTTCTTTCATATTTGTGCAACGTGAAAACTAGAAATGCGGTTTGCTCCTTAGAGAGTCTCGGCTATCGTGGGTATACAGGCACTCGCAAAGGAGAAAAGGCCAGGACTTGCGGAACTTAGCTTCTTGCCCGAGTCCTGAAATTACGGGCTTTACAGTTGGTTTTGGGCTCGCAGGAGTGGAAAGAGAAGGAGCGGCTGAATTTCGCCCAGATTTGTGGTGAGGTTTTCTTCCACTCGTAATCGGGATACGAGATGAGGCAGGTAGAGTATTCGATTTTGATTTCTGTATCTTTGTAAACGATGAGCTCTTGTCGAAGTTTTTTGGAGGTCGAGGAGGCACCGCCGAGCTGAGGGTGGCAAACTTCTGGCGCCGGGGTGGTTTACTGGGACTGGTGTTACCATCGACGTATGGAAGCTTTCTTGGTTCCTTTCCTGTTCGTTTCGGCGAAGGCTGAAAAAGTAAAATTTTATACATAAAGTGGTCCAAGACAAGACGTTTTTCGTGGGGTTTGAATGGAGTTTGCACTTTCTTCTCTCATATTAATTAAGATTCAGAGGTCGTAATTTTTTAAATTTTTGTGATTAGCTAGAAAAATTAAGATAATGTATGAGAAGTGAAGTGTTCGCAACGATTCTTATATCCAAGTGTGATGTAAAATAATTTTTATACAAAATCCATGTTTATAATAAAATATGGTTCAAATAACAGAAATTTATTGGCATTGTTGTTACTCACTGTGACCACTGTAGCCAACGTATTTGTTGAAAAAACGTCCGAAATTTTTTTACTATTTCCTTCGATAGCAGATTTTTCTATATTTGCATTTATGGCCAATTTAGAAAGTTTTGGAGGAATTTCAGGAGCTATCTGAATAGAAGATCCACAGCGCAAGTTGTTGGGTTTGGCAGGGAGAAGCGGAGGCTTCTCGGGGTGTTCCGGTATCTCGTAGTAGCCGCTTGAAATGGCAACTTCTTTGGTTTCTTTGTCTCTAATACTTCCAAATACGATAGGTGATCGCAGTTCAAGATCTTCGCTTGATCCACTCTGCTCTTTCTCGTCTATATTTTCGGCTTGCGAATTTAATTGCTTAGATGAATCACGTGAATCTTGTGCCACTGTGTCGAGTGTCATAGATGTCCCTGGACATTGCTCACTGGATTTCGTATTCTCTATTGAATTTTTTTCGGTTGAATTTGGGTTATGATTCTGATCGAGGACATCCAGTGCCACATTATCGAGTCGCGTATATGGGAGGACAACTCTCTCACTCTCGGGGTAATCGGATTCAGGTGGAGAAGTTGAAGGTGGTGGAGGAGGTGGAGAATGTAGAGGAGGATAGTTCAAATTGGTGCTTTCCGACTTCTCAAAATATTCGCCAGAAGTTTTTAAGTTTGATTTTGAAGAGCCTTGATTCCGCTGCAGAGTCGTTAATAATTTAGTTTTGTTAAACTCCTCTTCCGATTTATATCTCAAAACATCATTTGTGTCGATGTAAGGTATGTCGTCGATTGACTTCAGTCCGATTGATAAATTGCTTGCACTTGTCTTCCTGGCGTTTTGGGAGGCATTTTTCTCGGTAGCCTCATCAATACCTTTAAGACAGTAGTCAGTAACTAAGACATGTTCTTGGTTTGTTTCATCTTTGTTTCCATTCAATTTCCCAGTAACAACACCGGGCGTCGATTTTGAAAGAGCTTCAACTGTAAAAACAATGGCTGGTTCCGAATTCATATTTTCGATGAAAGATTCCAGTCTGCCCTCTTTCGTTTGATTGATCTTACGAGCTGGAAGTTGTGAAATCTTCTGAACTTCATCGATGCTCACGAGAGGAAGACAACCCTCATTTCCAATTTGCGAATCCCCAACCCTCTCATCTGAGACCTGATTCTTCGTACTCGCCGGGGCCGTCGATGAGATACGCTCGGAGTCAACAGCACCTCCATCAGTCTTCCGAATAAGCATCTTGGATTCCTTGTGTTCTGGTGAGAAACTTGTTAAACCACTGTGCTTGACTTGACTGCTCAAGTCTGTGCTCTCAGTAACCAAATCAACAGAAACAACACCCTGAGAGCCGCTGAGTTGTTTCTGTTCTTCGTTTTTTGACGTCTTTGAATTTTCTTCTCTAATTTGACCTATGCTAATATTTTGAGCTGCGTCATCTTCAGTAGAATTCAAGTCGACGTCATGAAGCTCTGATTCGACCACCCCGACCATTTCTTTTGAATCGAGACCATTTTGTGGAACTGAGTTGGATTGGTTACCAACAGGATTGATCTGTGCTAGAATCTCTTCTCTGCCTCCACAACCGTCCGAAGTTGGAATGGGTGAGGCGATTTGTTTTGGCTGAATATTGGGTACAGGATGTATTCCGTCATTCGTCGTACAAGTGGAAGAATCCTCAGTAGGCTCTGTTTTAAAGATAGTGTTTGAAGTAGATAACGAAGAATTTCTTTTTACCTGTTGGACATCTTCATAAAACGGATTTGCTCCAACGTAACCACTGGGCTCTGGCCGTGAATCTAAGAATGGGTTGCCTCCAATGATCTCTAGGTCATTGTTCTCTTGCACCACTGGAAGCTTAGGCCTGTTTTCCCCAATTTCTTCGTAAAAAGGATTTCGATCGCTTTGGCGAAATTCTCTTGGCACCGCGGCAGGTGATTCCAGTTGAGTCTTGTAATCGGGAGAGCATGAGTAATCTTGCTTTAACTCATTCCTCATGAAGCTCGGAGGGAGCGGTGCCCTGCGCTTCCTTCGTCTACGGCCTGTTGAGCCGCCAAATGAAGATGCTGGACTCCAACCACCTCTGGAGTAGGTGCTGCTACCCTCTCCATCCGCGGAACGTGTTTTAGGCGGCAATGGAGGAGGCAGATTCGGCACACTAACACTAGTACGCAATTTCTGAACTTGCGCTCGAATATCCCCAATTTCTTCATAAATATGGTCGTCCCTCTTGACACGAGGGGGATTAGATTCCTTGATCCCATCTCCGTCTGATTTCAATGGAAGTGTTTGAGAGCCAGCAGTGAAATTTGGTTTATTTTCAAAGTTTCCCACTCTAGAAGAAGTTCTAGACGCCGTTTGAAGCTCGGGTAGGCTCGCCATGTCTGTGCTAATAGACACTGCATCGGACGCGACTGTGGACACGCCATCATGTGATGAAGCAGCTGATAATCTTTGATCGGTTTTAGATGTGGCATCTTCGTTTTTGTCTTCATGGTTTGGGATGTCTTTGCTTATATCATTTTCGTGCAAAGTAACTTCTTCCTCAGACGAAGTTCGTTGAATGAGCTGGTCATTATAGCTAACTTTCCCCGAATGCTCCTTAGCATTCAGATCATTCAACTCTTCATAATTATCTTTTCTAGCCAAAACCGGTGTAGTTTCTGCTGATTTCATGTCTGTCGATGAATCATGCTCAGATGTCGGGCCTGGGTTCATACGAAGGCCCAATAGTTGGGGAGATGCAGGCAAGGAGGTCATGGGGCAGAAGAGGTCAGATATGTTCGTGGGGTGCAGATGACCTCCTGTGAGGTAAAGTCTGAGCTCATCGGCGAACAACAGCAAATCTAGCGTGAGTCTTGCAAGGTGAGACGCGTCGAGTGACAATCTTCGAGAGTACTTCAAAATTCCATCTTCACGCTGACGGAAACCAAGTAATCGTAAAATCTCGAGACCTCCCTGAAAAATAGAAATAAATATTTACACTTTGAAAATAAGTTGAAGCGTATTATTCGCATTTTGAGAAAGCATTTTCAAGAGATATTTATATTTTTGCCATGAGTTTACATGAAAAAATTGCGCAGACAATTATATTAACACGCTGAATCCAAATTATAAAATGAATGATAAATTTTGTCTCGACCTTCTACGTATTACAATAATTTAAAAAAATCTTCTGTTTGGAAGCGTTCATGCAGCACGGGACTTAATCAGTCTAATTGAATAGTTAGCAAAATTTAAATTTATATGAATATTTTTTTAACTCCTACTCGAATTGTGGAAACGCGGACTATTAACGACAGTCTTTAAACAATATTTTCATTACAAACATGAAGTCGGACACTCAACCGTTCATGAACTTGGGCATCCTCAATTTCTCGGGTATGAACGTCACACCATACATTCTGATCATCCAGTGACCATATAAGCCGATGCCAGTGGGTGTAATGGATGTTGGTGGACCTCAATTTCTCTGATATGTGCGTCTCATCATAATAACTGCCATTGTGCAACCATGTATACAGTATACGTAGACGCCGGTGGATGTGATGGATATGAGCAGACCTTAATTTCCTGGGTATGAATGCTATATTATCCAAATTGGTCATCGAGTGATCTTGTAAACAGATGCCAGTTGCTATACATGTTAGAAAAATCACCGTTAAACGGTCTCACCAGCGTTCTAGTGGCGGCACATGAAAAAGAAACACCGTATGGCCGTTTTTAATAAAATTTAACACTAAAAACCCGTACAACATCTGAAAAAACGGATAAACGGTTTATAAACGGCCGGCCACTAGAACGCAGGTGAGACCGTTTTTTGACCGTTTTTTTACAGTTTTTAGCGCAATTTCTCATTTATGAAATAAATGTACTATTGTGCTCGCCATGTCCGTCTGTCCGTCTGTCTGTCCGTCCGTGATTTCACGTTTTCGTCGACGAGAAAATGCGCTCTCTATCACTCACTGCAGTGAGTACTGAGTTATATTTTTTCGACCAGTGTAGGTGAGTAAGACCTCACCTTGACAGGCACCCAGGGCTGGTTGCCGTGGGCCACGATGGTCCGCCAGCCAAGAGGTCGCAAATCCTCTCGCTGCAGCAGCACCTGCGCGTGCCGCGCCAACTGCAGGAGCGCCGCTCGAACCTGTCCATGGGGGCCACGATATAGGGTACGTAGGCCAAAAACTTTTGGTTCATATTTTAATAAATGTTAAATAGGCCTACTATTTCTGTTTCATAGTTTTCTGTAGGCTATACTCGCCAATAAATAATTGATGCTTTAGTGACGGTTATGGTGACCTGCCTTGAGCTACATAAGGTGTTATCGCATCGATATATATTTAATCCAATATGTGTTTCTAAACTTTTGTTAGCGTGTTCATTTGTAGATTGTTTGAACTAATTAACACTATTTACAACGTGTTTATTTCTAATTTTATGCGTTTAAAAATAGAAGCGTTCAAGTTGTCACAAATTGTACAAGTGAAACTAAGTTGTTCAATGATAATAACGTAGAGTGTCGTAGGCTGGCTAAAATATAACAAATGCCGTTCATTGCGATATCAGTGCGAATTTTATAAAAAAAAACATCAACTTTGCTTTATGCCGCGCCAAAGTTTGCAGAGGCTATTAATATCGTTGCTTGATAAATCAAGAACAATTAAAAATCTTCCTCTACTGTTACTACATGTTAACACTCTACCGCCCTATGTCACTCTCCGGCCTTATGTCAAGGCCTTATGTCACTCTCACTCTACCGCCTTATGTCACTAAACTTCCAACTTGAATTATACGTAAACTATTGAGTGTAGCAAACTGAGGATGTTTGTACGCAACAGAGAACATTGTAAAGTCGTCGTACGTGGCGGCAACCATCAGTGCAAGTCATTTTGCGCTCACTAGCAACGCAGCCTTTCTGGGAAGTAGTTTTGTGACAATATTGCTCCGGTTACTCATGTCAGGCGGTAGAGGGTTATGGAGCATTTATTTTTGGTATATGTTGGTACTCACTGTTCGAAGCTGAGCTTGGAAATCATGTACCTGCGCGGCGCCGATGTCGGTATTGGCTGCACAGATTCGAGGAGCGTGTAGCAGAGATAGTTTGAGGTGCAGGGGAAGCGGATGTTGAATAAGCAGGTGGAAGGTGGCCCAATCATGCTGGTCCAAACCCTGACCACGGTCGAGTGATACAACCAGTCGCGCTCGCCACACGCTGTTCGGCACAAACGAAATTGTGCCATACGAATTTAGGTATGAATAAAAACTGCTTAGTGTTAGATAATTATCTCTCTTACACTTTCCCCATGCTACAGAATCTTAACAAATTTTTTATACATAATTAACTTACGAAAAGTCCGAAAGTTACGAAAGTAACTTTCGGTACGAATTTTTTTTGTAAGAAAGTTACGTGAGTCGGATAGAAGTAAGTTCATTAATTGATCCATTTCGGTCATCTTTAATTTTATATAAACGGGAAAATATTCATTTGTATGAATATATAAGAAAATGTCGCTTATTAATAAGAAAATTTCATTCCGTCACACCTGACGTCGGTGAGCCAAACGCTTGTCACGTCAGGAACTTCTTCTTGCTTCAGTAGCACCCACTGACGGCAGTCAGAACTCTCGTGATCATCCTTCTCATCATTGTGTGCGAGTGACACTCCATCTTCCTGTGGTGAAATTACGGAATTAGTTCTGGGATTTTTACATGTAAAATGTCCAGAACGTCTCAAATGAATCTGAATAAACATGAATACCTTAAGTTCCTAACTCATTCTCAGTTGGAATTTGGAATTGTCATGAAATCATATAAACTCACCCCGCCTCCAAGCTGACCGTCAGTAGCGATCAAACTTTCAGTTGTATCTCTCATATCGTCAATAACGTCAGGAACGTTCCTTGCTGAATGATATGAAACCACACTAGAGCTCCTTCCCACTTCATCTTCGGGTTTTGTTTTGGGGTCGATTGGCGGTAGTGCTGCAGGCACTACATTCACTTCGGAAGAAACCTCTGTTCGGAAGGCATCCACCGAAGTCTCCAGATCCACGAAAGCGGTTTTAAGGTTGGTACTTGATTTTTCTGGGATGGATGTGTCGATTGTGGTTTCACTAATGTCATCTATGCTTACCTGTTTCAAACTTTTCTTGAAACGCTGTCTTCGAACTGGTGGGGTTGGCGCTTCCGAATGCGCGGTGGTAAAAGACGAGCGATCGCCATCTTCCGACAAGGCGTCTATGCTGGCCAAATGCTTTTGCATTTCAAGCATCCAGTTAGAGTCCTTGTCCATGTCCTGCACTTTTCTATCGTTACCCTTTTTATAACCTACCATCGAAACGCTGTCGGAAGGCGCAATGTCAGTACTGAGAGACTCATTTGTCACTGATACTTGGGACGGGGCATTCGGCGATACTGGGCGGTCTGCGTTTGTTGAAATCGAATCACTCACAACTCGCGGAGTACCGGATTCAAGTCGTTTTGTAGAAGGGTGAGCAGGAAGTGATCGTTTCTGAATTGAGTCGTTTTGAATTTTCTTTGTGTCACTGACACTCACGGACGTTGATGGTTCAGGAGTGGAATGGGTTTGAAGAGCAGGATAACCAAAATATGGATATGGGTAAGGATACGGGCACGGTATGCATGGGAAATAAGGTGCAGGATAAGGATAGCCTGGTTGAGGGAATGAGGTAGGGACAACAGCCTGTGAAGGTACCAATTGCTTACTTAACTGGTTCTTTCGGTGTTTCCGAGGCGGCGGCCGAATTATCGGAACCGGAACTGGCTCAAAACCAGGGAATATTCCGGTTGTACTTCCCATCATCTGGGGAAAATGTTGTGGGAAATACTGGAAAGCCAATACCGGAGACTCAGGATGCATCTGGACAGTTTGCTGGCGCCTCTGCACTTTGACCCGCTCAATTTCAATGCTTGCATCTTCGTTGCTGTAGATACGACGCATGGAGTCAACTGTATAGTGGTCAGGTTGAGACTTAGGCTGCACTTGCAAACCCTGCATATGAGGATTTACCCATGGGCTTATAGCCGAGAACGGCGGAGGAGGCCAAGTTGCAACTGGCCCTCCTGAAGTTGTTGTCGGCATCATGGGCCACGGAGGAAAGCACGTCGGGTACATGCTGGGTACGAGCTGTTGACAAGTGTTCTGACCTCCTGATGACGTACCCGCTGCTTTAGGTGACGACGACATCTGATCATCACATCGAAAATTAAAACTGTATAACCGGAAATATATTTGCAATTACCAGAAAATTATGATTAAGTAAGCATCAGTGAGCAAGAATTTGTTTCTAAAGACCTAGGAATTATTTTTTCTAAAGAACTTACCTTCGGTCTGTCTGCACTTTATTTGCTTGTCGTATAACAATAGAGCCATGAGCACTTGAGTTCTTTTCACAACATGTTCCGTTCAAACAGTTTTAGGACTACTGTAAAAAATAAACAGGACTACTGTAAAAAATAAACTTCAGGTTAAGTTCTCCGACGTAAAAACGCGTTTGCTACCTACATTTGAGACACGTGTTTCATGAATTACATTTATGAAAGCTTCTAAAATTCAATCCTGACATGACTCAGAATATGTAATGAAGCTTAAGATTAAAAATAACTTAAATAAGTTTATTTAAGTTTGTGTCGCATTGGAGCAGCAGCAGCCTACGATCGGGGAAGCTGCTACTCTTTAATACGCAATATGTAATGGGAAAATAATTATGTAGATCCCAAATTAATTAAAATTAATTTTATTATAATATATGATTTTCAGAAAAAGAATGCTCATGCTAATCATGAGCATAGAAAACCTAAGAACCATTTAATGATATAATCGTTTATTATTGCCCGTTTAGATTAAAAATAAGCTAAACGAAATTAATCTACTAAAGAAATAGAATAATATTTATTCATATAATTTGAGCAAGCTTCCCTAATCTGATTGCCAAATGTTTGATATTGCCCTAATTTTTATTTCAAAAACTTATTATAAAATATGTTCTCAGGAAATTGTGAATATTAAATTTTTAAGATTCGTGTGCCCAGTGTAGACCCATATGTGTAGGAGAATAAATTGCTGTAGGTTGCACTGAAGCGAGAAGAATTCTCATCCACTGGCTTGCCGGCCCGACCGAAGTTTATTTGGTATAACCAAGTCATTTATCCTGGTGAACCTAATCTCAAAAGAATCACTATCAAATGAAAATATTTAAGAATCATAAATTACAGAAAATTAGACTTGTTAACTTGTGACGGTTATCGCATAATAATGCAATTTTGGTCTGACTGTTTTCGATTGCATCTCAACGTAACGACTGTTAACAAAACTGTTGAGCGAACTCCGACCCTCTGACTCCGAACTCTGACCTACTGACTGTTTTCGATTGCATCTGAACGTAACAACTATTAAAGGTGTACAAATGTGTAATCTTCTAAATGAAAACGGTTCACAGGAAAAATTAACTCTTTAACAAAACTGCATCTGTCGAGCGAACTCCGACCCATGCCGTTGCGCTGCTTGTCAGCCGCTCGCTAGGATGTCATCCAATTTGCCAGCTCGTAATAACCTGCCTCTGCTCCGAGGAAACGGCCGCATTTCGAGGCTCCTTGCAGACGCAAGTTTGACTTTGTTCAAAAGTGATTATGAACAGAAAAAAATTTAAAACCTTATGACTTCATGATTTTTTTATATTTTTCAGTATGGATTAAGTGATGCGTTTATCACTAATTAAGATTTCTTATTTCTACGGTGTGCATTTATTCTCAAGAATTTCTGTCAGACAAAAAAAACTAAAATTCTCCTAAGACATTTAGAGAACCCATAAATTAAGTGGCGCAGAACAAATTATACGGCGTAGATATAATGTTTCGAAAATATTTTTTGACAAAATCAACTCGCCAATAACAGCCTTTAAAACATAGGCTTGAATAGTTTTTTTTGTTTCGAGTCTGTTGTTTGTCACAAATTATCTTACTTGTCCAAATAACATTCGTCCGTTCCTTTTCCTTTTTTCCAATTTCCTGTAATGTTGAGTCACCGGGTTGGTCCGATATTTTCCGTTTTTCTACAACTACGCACATTTCATTTGTCCTAGTACGTAATATTTTTTCAGGTACTTATATCATTAATCTACTTAACTCGCAAGTTCACCCAGAATTTAAGAGTAAAAAAATGAGTTTATTGCGCTTCGCCTTTGCCTTTAAATTATTGTTATTCAAATACCTCATTTTTTACGAGCACCAATAGTTTTTCCTAAAACACATCTCTGAATCAAACTTTACTTCTGTCCCATTATCCTTCGTTTGTCCCAATACCTTGCAAGGGAACACGAAAGGTTGCTCATAATTTCTCTGCTTGTTTCAGGTCAGCAACCAGACATGGTCCCAGCTCTGTGCGCCAGTTTCTGGTCAGAATCGGTGAGGAGGCCGGCCGGTTAAGCAAAGCAGAATTGGAGCAGTGAGTTGCGTGTTCGAGACCGCAACAAGCTGTGAATGTTCTGCGATGTTAAGAATCGACGACAGGCCTGCGGCCTAATAAACGCTGAAACCACTATTAATATTACTATTACTATGTGATTACGATGTCCGTGATTCCACCACAGAGGTATTTAGTTTTTATACGTCAAGTCAACCATATATTAGCATTCGTTTCATATTATACTGCCTGATTGTTGTTATTCCTAAATTTTTGTTCATTTGCACATCAGAAAGGATAAGAAGTTAGGTTCTGAAATATGAAATTAATTGATAGAATTCGAAGCCAATACAAGTGTTTTGTGGTTTGGGCTAACGCGAACATACGGCCCATTTTTTCGCATATGAAATTGCTTCTATATATGTCATTTTATCCATCACGTCAATTCATCATTACTTTTACTAATCAAATTGCCGGTCGTACGATCACAGTCAAATTTATGGGGTCACCGAAGGCGTTTTTTACATTTATTCATTGAATGGGCCCAGACAACCTTTTGCTTGTTACTGTATATCTTTGCTACGCAACATTTATTATTTTCTTTCTGCACATAGTCCATTCCAATGCCTATGGTTTTTCTCGAAAACTTTGTTCACCTAAATATTTATTGTAGCAATAAAATTCTCTTCTTATTCTCTCCATTTTTATACCAATTTAGTATCATCCAATATTTGCACTATCATATTAATATTGTTCATATTAATTCCCATTTTTAGTCTAAATACTAATACTTCGTTCCGATATAAATCGTTGATAGCAAACACTTTTTTTTCGTTCAAGAACATACGTATTTTTGGTAACGATAACAATGTACTAAAAAGCGTAGTATGGTTGTACTCTATTAGCTTTGGACTGTTCAGTTCCCAGGTGTAACAAATCTCCGGGGTTCGAATTTCTCTTACGACCCTCTTGAGATGGCAGTAAATTCCTTGGAATTAAAGACTTGAGCCGGAAAGTGTCCTCCAATTTTGACGACTTCTCGTTCCGGAAACTTTATCCCTCGAGACGCCGAGACTTTGGCCGCTACGCCGTGCATAAAGTGGATTCCTAATAGGAAATGAGCACGAATCGGAGGTTCGAACGTCATTTGTTGCAATAAGCCGTTGAACAGAAATGTATTGTTTGACCTGTTTCGCATACAGCATATTATTAAATGCCTGTTGGCCAGTTTGTAAAATCCAAATAGGGTTCCCCTCGAATTATTTAAATTTTTGTTTGGCCTTACGTAGAAGTAGTACATTACTTCTAAAAATTCATGTTGAAATTGAAAAAAAAAGCATTAAAAATTGCTACAACAATAATACGGTGTTTCGTCAAGCTGAACTTGCAGACGCGAATGTACAGGTGAAAGCTTTCAAATCATTGACGAATAATTAAATTTGACGAATCGTGTATAATAAAATATAATTCTTCTCTGTGATTCATGTCATTCGTTGAATCGTTCCTTCTAGCGATTTATTTCAATTAGTGGAAAATGTCCTGTATCGATTCAAGCATTTTAAAATGACAGCATTTGGAGTAGTTATGGAATGCGTCGCACAATTAGTGAGCTATACCGACTAGTGAATCGTGGAATTTAGTGAATTACATTATTTACTGGGTGTATTTCATGCTAGTTAGTGATTGTTGATAATAAGTGGACATTGCTATTTGTGAACTGTTCATATGTGAATATATATGAATTATTTAATTCGCCTTGCAGATGAATCACGTTGTTGTGTCTATCGTGATACTCAGTGAATCGTGATATGTAATTAATAATAATGTTATTTAGTAAATTATTATATTAGATTATTTTATGTCAAGCTAATTAAAAACGTATGTAACAACATGCCAGTAATGAAAATGTCTCCCCGAAGCTGTCTCGCAACATATGAAAAGATCTTCATATAAATAATTATTTTTATTGTGAACAATCAAAGCATTTCTCATCTGGATAACGGAAAAGTTTATTTAAAGGAATATATTATACCTTCATTTAACCTGATTTAGCGACCAGAATCTTATAACGATTATTGAAGAACAATATGCGTCGTTTCTTTCAGCTCTCCATATTTTGCCTGCGACGCGTCAAAAGAAATGCGAATGATATTATCTCCCAGACTGAAGTGACGCGAGCGAGCCACCACCCTAAAAATACTCTGTATAAAATCGTCGATTCTTCGATGATTCTTCGACGGTCGACGGAGTGAGCGACCGGGCGCGCGCATGCGTATCGTGCGTGCTCAAGAGATCGAGGGTGCGATAAATCACCAATGATTTTGTAGTACCAATGTTTTCTATACCTTCAAGCTGTTATTAACTACCATGTAAGAATTTAACATATGAGCTTAGTTTAATTTACAGTAATTTGTTAGTGTGTTTCATGTATACGTTCTTCAAGAAACAAGATTACTTCGGCCTTTTGAATACATTGTTTGATTTAAATTTAAAATAAAATCGTTAGTTAAGAAATCAATCTGAAATGATCAACTACCATTTCATCTATAACAATAATAATGATAATAATATTGAAATAATAATAATAAAATTATTATAATAATTGTAATAATTCGACATAAAAAGACACTGCTAGAAGCGTTTCGCGCCCTTTAACCGTTTATCGTATACACGGTGCGTCACACACGTGTAAAATTCATGTCAATTTTGCATTAGATAATGCAACCCTTCGTTAGGTTGAGGTCAGAGCAGAACAAGGTCACGTTCTTGATCTTCGCGTTACTTGTCTTGCGTTCCCGGCAATTTGGCGAGCTTGGCGTTAAAGACCGCGAGGATGAAAAAAAATTTTTATTTCTTGAACGGTGGCCAAGTGTCGTGTATGATCATTTCAGTCAATAAATGTCAAGTTAATAGTTAAAGCAGGTTATGTTTAACTAAAAAATGATCAATTTGCGCGCCTTTGTTATCGTATCTCATTTGTTCTCATTAAACTATTAGTGAAGGTAATTTCATGAAAGTATATGTAAAAGATTGCCATCACATTTTCATCTTATTAGTTAATTCATGTTCTGTCCCAGATAGCTTTTGGTGAGCCGTATTTCCTAAGTCTATGTAAATGGAAAGCATTAAAAAGAAATAATTTGATAATATTGTTTAGCGCAGTTTTTAATCAGGAATTCGCCCGCAGTTTTCTACCGCCGAAAACGAAAAAAAAGTCTAACTTAAGTTCATATATGAAATTTGTGTTCACGTTTGCCCACCCTGAATAATAAATTTAAATACCGGAAAACCGATCAAAATTTCTGTATGATGCTTGTGTCTGCCATTGATATCAGCCTTTGTTTTGTGCTTCTACGCTTTACGAGGAAGTTGTTGAGATATGAAAATCGCATTGAGTAAAATGAACAAAACTTCATAGTGAAGAATTTTAACTAATTGCCGATGGCTTACTTCCGACCTTAAAATTTGCTTATGTTTTGCGAAAGGTGAACATTTTTGAATTTGCGAAGAAGGTAAAATTTCGAGGGAAACTGTAAAATAAGACGTGATTGCAAGTAAAGCAGAGCACAGCAAAAATACAATAGCTACGTTTCTCAAGTGACGAAATTTCCGAATAGAGAAAATAACATAAAATAAGCGTTCAACTGAAAACTGAAATTCGATAATTCGCCGTGGAACTTTTTAGTCAATCACTTCGAATGTCATGTTTTTAGTCGCGGTTCCTCCCTTCAGAATGGGAACAAAATTTAACGCATATTTCGCTATCCGAAATTTATTTTAAATGCCAATTTGCCAAAAGTATATTTTATATCAAACTTATATTCCTATTAAATTTTCAAATTTAAATTAAATAAAAGTGGGTACAAGAAGGCTTCAGTGCACCGATCGCACAGCACAGCACGGCAGCCATGCGAGCACTGCTGCTGTGGTCCCTGAGTCTTGGCAACCGCGTGGCATGATTGTGCCAGAACTCAGTGGGCTGGGTGAGGCTGGTGGGTTGTGGTAGGTGCAGGGGCTGAGTATGGCTGATGGTTTGGGTCCGTGGCTGGTGGTATGAAGTGGGGTGTGGTTGGTGGGTTGTGGTAGATGCAAGGGCTGAGTATGGTTGGTGGGTTACGCTCATGGCTGGTGGTAGGAGGTGGGGTGTGGTTGGTGGGTTGTGGTAGGTGCAAGGGCTGAGTGTGGTTGGTGATTTAGACTCAGGGCTGGTGGTGTGAGGTGGGTCCGTTGTGTGGTGTAGCGATTTGGTTGAAAAATCGCCAGACTCGGGTTGAGCTCACGACTCAGCATCATCATCGTAAGCGTAGTCATAGCCGCCAAATTATAAAAACAAACTCTCATTTGTTCTAGTCTTGTTTCAGTGTTGAGTAGATGCATTAACTCCTCATCCCGCTACCTCGTGCAGCTTTGCAAGCCATACCGCAAGCTGATATGCATGTCAGGCATCCGCAACACCACACACAAGTGCAAGAGTGACAGCATCATTTGTCGGGTGAGAAGTGAGCTGCCATTGAGCCGCACCAGATTTGTGGGGCCGTGGCCGCCGCTCTGACAGCAGTTTGGCCGGCAATGCCTCCGAGCTTCCGCTCCAGACGCCGGCTTCTCGCACTCCAGACATGAGTGATGGCTGTGTCAGGACCTTAGCCCGGCTCGTTATTTTGCTCAGATTTGCCACGGATCGGGATTCGTTCGTTGCAATTAGGCCCGTTGAAAGCAATGGATTTCTTGAGTCAAAAAACAAACAGACGGTAAAATATTTTCAGTTTTAGACTCGTACACTTTGAGATTACGCCAGAAAAGAAACCTGGAAATTGCAATTATGAAAAAAAAGGCAGAGTAAGGTAGTATAAATATTGAAGTTTGAAAACAATCAGTTGGGAACAAAAGTAATTATTTCGTTCTTAGTATTACACGACATGTACGCTAAGATATAGTGACGTTTCTATCATCATTCATCATTTTAACCTCAGCCGCTGAGTTGACCGGAACAACGAAATACTAGCGACCGTTTTGCTGCGTAGGGAATATTGTTTGAAGGACCTTGAAATGCTTTGATTCACCGTACCGATAAAAATGACCTCGTCAGGAGACATAAACTAGCTTGCAAATGGCCAGCGGCAGCCCTCGAGGTTCCTTAATATATTTCGAGACGCGAAACGCGACCGTACGTCACAAAGTTTTTCTCCGAGAGTTCCGTAAACTGGTTTGTGGGAACGCGTCTTTGTTGGAAGGTGTTAAATGGCGGGTCATTCTAGATGGTCTTTATATCAGGGATCACAACAACAGCTCTTCTTTGATGAAGGAAGTTTTTAGAATTGTCTTCGACCGAAAGAAATAGGCAATTTCGTCTACTCGTAGTTTTTCAGAAACGAAATAGATTGGCAGCTATTTGCTATAGATCCTATCACAAAGTTAGCATTGTGGATAGACAAAAAACTATGTGTATATAATAATCATTCACCAAAATGGTAATTAAAAATATATCCGAAATTATTACAATGACAAGGTTACACTCGAAATACGCCGCAAATGGAGGAATTTTTTTTCGTAATTTCAAATATAAACATAAATAGCATTTTTACTAATGACTACTAATTCCTGACTAATTCACTTATACGTGAACTTAAAATTCGATGCGTAAAGTATGGCGAAAAAATCGTCTGGCGTCTGCACAACTAAATAAGAAATATTGAATACAGAAAAAATAATGAAATTAATCAGAGAAGTAAATTTGGGGAGTTTACCTGTTTAACTTCTGTTTACCTTCTCGCCCCTCATACTTCACACTCACCCACACATATCACACTCGCCCCACACACATCACACTCGCCCCACACACATCACACTCGCCCCACACACATCACACTCACCACACACATCACACTCGCCCCGCACACATCACACTCGCCCTAGCTGTGCACCACTCTTGCCCCTGCACCACACTCACCCCACAAGCAGCTTTGCCGCGTCACACATCACTCTCACCCCGCACACATCACACTCCCCCCTGACACATCACACTCGCCCCTCACACATCACACTCGCCCCTCACACATCACACTCACCCCACACACATCACACTCGCCCCACACACATCACACTCGCCACACACATCACACTCGCCCCACAAGCAGCTTTGCCGCGTCACTCGATCTGAGCGCTGCATTAGCAGTTCCCTCGCGCACTAACCTAGCGTAATTTGTACTGCGTGAAGTCGTTACATGTTAACTTGAACTCAGTTTTAATTTAACGCTGGTCAACCGAGGTCACATGACATGCATATCGCTTTCAGAAATAACAGAGAAGAGCGCAAATGATCTAAATTTTTATAACACTCGTAATTTTTTAGTAAATTTAATAATAAAATTCGCTCACTTTCCGCGTTCATTAATCTATTGTTTCTCGAGGTGGTAAGTCACATTTCTGTAAAACTTGAACGTTATTAAAATGCTGGTTGGGATGAATAAATGAGCCGAAAGACAAGTATCCGTACATTTTTATTAAATATTTATTTTACCACAATATGGCGTGAGGAATTGACAACCGTACCTTTTAATTTAAATCAAGATTTATATATTGCATGCATTATTTGTAACTGAATTAAATATTGCTCCTTTATATTTGCCTATCTCATCATTTATTTTTCTTTTTATCCTGAAAAGGTTACATTAATTACTATAATTAACAATATATCACCTAAAGTAAAATTTCATCTGCTATGCATTAAAATTATCATGCTATGGACTAGGAAACAAATTACAGTTTTTATCGTCAGATTTAAAATTAATCAGAGATTTTCTAGCCACTTTGTAGAGTGGCATTAAAGTTTACGTTTGACGCTTAGATAAAGTATTTGAACGAGTTCTAAAAGTGGTAGCTAGCTTCCAATGACTGAGCACCACAGTTATATCACAGTCTAAATTTGCTCTGAACTTTTCACAAAGTCTGAACTACAATCGGTTTGCTTATATTTTATATCATTGTATATATTCATGACATAGAATAATTCGCAGAATAACAAGGTTGATGAGTTTCTTCACATCTGTCGTTCGCGCTCACTAGACGTCTTCCTGACCGAGACCTGGCACGACGCTGACTCGGTTTGCATCACGCTGGATAAACTCATGGGAAGAGGTCATACGGATGCTTCGGGTAACGTAAGCGTGGAGGAATTCCATGCAGTTTTTTGAAAATATAATTTCGTCAGCCGATGCCCCGCCGACAACATTTGCGCCGTGCCTGTTCGACTGCATGCTTCAAAAAGTTACTTGCTTCACAGCTGACGATTTCATCGCTGCAGTGCGCGCGCTGCCTAAACAAGCAGTGTGGCAAATATCAGCTGCCGACGTCGTTACTTATGGGGAATATTACATACGCTTAGTATTACATTTCGAGATCTGCGGGGAAATGTAATATTAAGCCAAACCCCATGTAGTGACAGATCGAAAACAAAATGAAAGAAGGTGAATGGACGATGTCAGTCTATCTCATCTTTCTTACGTAAACTTAATAATCTAATATTCAAGAAGCCCGAACACTAAATCTGTGTTCGGCGTCACTGCAAAAAATCTTGGGTAAAAACTGCTCCGCGCAGTGCGCTTTTCTTAATCAGTGCACCAGATCGGAGCGATTTGCTGGTGGCAGGTATCGAGGTCTTCTGATGATTAAAAAACTCCAGTGATTGGACTCAAAACGCTGGTGATTGATCGATTTGCTGATTTCAGATTACCGAGAAGATATTTCCATACATACTGTATCACCCGAGTGATTCCTTGTATTCTGATTCTAAATTATTGGAACGACTCGAGATATCCTAGCTGACAGGGTTCGATTCCAGTCACTCTAGAAGATTGTTACGAGTGAGATAATTTCTGGAGCATCGATCAATTCCATTTATTCCAGAATACCGGGACGATCTACACATCGTATCACATCGATCGATTCCGGACATACCTGATGACCGAGAAAACTCTGTGTGACATCGATCAACTCCTGACATGCCGGAAGACCTGGACGACCCTGCCCAACCTGAAGGTTCACGGATCCCAGTGGATGATCGGGCCGACTCCCTGAAGCTGCTTGAACGCCTGCAGAAGGGGGCGCGAAAGACCTGCCGCGGTGTCGACTGCTGACGGGGGGAACGCCGCAGAGTCCAACGTCTAACGCGTGTCAAGCCCCACACTGGGCTTTGCGGTGGTCAGGAGACGTTAGCTGTCTGTGGGGGGTGTTCCCATGCGCAGGCCTCTTGATGCTGGCCTAGAGATGACTGCCTACGGGACTGTAATACGTAACAAAATTACACAGTTGTGTGGGATATTTTTTGACACACTGAAATGTATCACGTTCGCAGTCTTTTAGGAGATCTGCGTGAGAATTTTCAAGCTTTATGGTGTGGTGGTGGTGCGTTGCCGCTAATGAAATAAGGAACAGCAAGAGGTGGCACAGAATTGGGATTAAAATATGAGAAAAATGGCAGCGGGAAACAATAAATTTTACCCAGGTTAGGCGCTGGGCACCAAATTTTCTAGCTGTCTGAGGGAAATGAAGCGCTCTGCTCTTGGTCCCTTGGGATGAAAGGCTTTAGTTTAATTTTGCTAAAGGCTTCTCGCGTTTCTTAACGGCCATGACAAAAGCGTCAGTACTCAACCAGTAGCGTTATCGGTAAGTCTAGAAAGTGGAGCGTTAAATTCATGGAAGGTCGTCTGAAATATTGCGGGGCGGTCAGTATAGTCAATTTGCATTGGGTTGATTCTCTTTACTTGAATGCCATATGATTGTGTCCTCTGAGGCTCAGGTTAAGTTGATGGTTAATTGGGGGATTTAAGGGATTATGATGGCGGATGACATTACGGAAATGAAGGTAATCGTGGTCGTGAAATAATTGGTTATTTTCCATATGCCTTCTGAGGTATGTCCGTTGCGTGGGTTCAAGGCATCAGTAGGGGGCATGAGGTTGGAGGGAGGTGAGGATACAGGTATTGGTGCAATAAACCAACGAAATAAAATAGTAGAGACTGAGGCATGAAAAAAGACAGTCAGTTCTAATTGGTGACCTACACATCCGGCTGGGTAGTGCAAAATCCTGATCCAGAAAGAGATAATACGAGTACTGTAAGAATAGGAACATTCGCAAGTAATTGCCACGGTGGACTGAGCTCCATGGCCTTTAATTTTCATTTTGTCAATCTCGCTTAATATTACCACTATTATATCGGCTGATATTTTACCTTGTAATGGGTCGTGCTGGGCCGGAGTGTGATGCCGTACATCTCTCGGGGCTGCAGAGTGGCCACTGTGAGGGTGGTGGTCCTTCGAGCTCTCGGCCGTAAGGTTATCTTCACACGCCAAAGATAACACAAAGTTCTCTGAACCTGCTCGCAGTCGTGGACAAAAGTTTAGGTCGTTAATTCAAAGAACACTGCAGTCCATGCACAAAGATTCCTGAACTTGCGTCAGATGGAGATAATAGACCCAAATTCGATACCGTTACCAGTTTTTAAAGTGCGATTTTTTTACAATGTTAAGAAAACAATTCAATGCGTGGTGACGGAGAAAATTTGTCGTAGATTTAATTTTTCATGCAAGTTTAAAATACAGAAGTTGTTCTAGTCAGGAAGCAATACCGATGCAACAAAGCAATCAAAAAGATAAAAACTCGGAAAATACATACTGAAATAGATTAAACTAATTTCAATTCTATCGTTACTACATTATATTAAAAAATGTATATTGCACAGTATTATTATTATTATTCCACGAAGAGATTGTCGTGGCGTCTCGTTCAGATCGAACTTCGAGGGCACGTTACAAGGATAAAAAACAGATAACAAAAACAGATAAAACAAGGATAAAAACAGATAACAGCAGTACGATATTGCAAAGTATTATCACGCAGAGGAAGTAATATCGCTGCAGCTCGCTGTCATTTCAAGTCCCTCACGTCTGCATTAAAGAAGCAGTAGATGCAGGAGACGACGAAGCCCTGGAAGGACGTAAGGATGTTTGTGCTGTAGGACCAAACACCGAACTCAAATGCTGAGCGTTCAAGAGGTTTGGGGATCATCGTTATGGCGTTGGTGATGCCGAGCAGTGGGAGTAGGCAGAGTGCGTTGCGCACCGAACGCCTCAGAGGCCTACAGGGGACATAATACGATGTGAAAACTTAGTTATTTAATGGATACAAAGTGAAAACTTATTTATTTAGTTAATACAATGTGAAAACGTAATTATTAATTAATACAATGTGAATACCTAATTATATAGTTATAGTAATAGTAAGCTAAATCACACTCTATCCCCCCAAAAAACTCGTAATTACGCCACATTTAATAGTCTTGAATCAAATGAACTAGATTCAAAAATACATGTTATGTATCAACAGGTACCTCGACTTGCGAGGCACCTGTTTACTTTCTTTTCTTTACCTGACAACTTTCTTTTTTTTTCACCTTATTAATCTTCACCTTATTTGTTGCGCTTCGCAAGTGTTTGCTTCCCTGAGTTTGCTGAGAAGCGTGCGCATAATGTTCAGTAGAAACAGAAGATTTGCCTGCGGGCAGAAAAGTACTTATAAGCTATGGTTATTTTTATAAAACGCTCGGCAGGAGTGAAAGATTTATTAAAATTCAGATAGAAGGCAGGAACATAAGGCATTCAGATGAAAAGCATTTAGATAAAATGCTCGAGAGGAGTGAAATATTTAGCAAAATTCAGATAGAAGGCAGGGTTATAAGGCATTCATATGGAAGGCATTCAGATAAAATGCTCGGCAGGGGTGAAAGATTTATTAAAATTTTAAAATTCAGATATAAAACAATTTTTAAGGTACAAATGAATAATTTTCGATTATTTTAGTTTACTGACCGCGATGATAGTAAGGCGAGGACCTTCCAATATCCAGTAGGAGGCCGTGCTGGAGTAGCCGACCCAGCACCCAGTCTGTCCACCCACCGCCATCACCGCCGCCCACACCGTCGTCACCACCGCCGGCACACCTGGCCAGAAATACTCTATGATATTTATCTTGTGCACGGCAGTCGAGAAGTTACGATATAGGCCTTCAATACAAAGTTTTTTGCGACAGTGACGGAGCTGACGGCGCAAGTGACGGAGCTAAGGTGCGTGACGACACGAGCGAACTCCACCACCGACATTGAGGGTCATTACTTCCCCATGCGCATGTGCGGTCGCCCCGACGCCATCTGGATAACTGAGATCGAAAAGGTGTTCGGCTTCCCTGAGCACTTCACAGACGTGGGCAACCTGCAACCTCGACAACGGCAGGCGCTCCTCGGCAAGGCCTGGAGTGTGGACGTCATGCTGCGCATCTTAGAGCCTCTCAAGGCAATGTTTCCTGCCTTTCGTCAGTAGAGGAGGACAATGAAATCTTAGAGCCTCTCAAGGCAATATTTCCTGCCCTTCGTCAGTAGAGGAGGACAAGGAAATCTTGGAGCCTCTCAAGGCAATGTTTCCTGCCCTTCGTCAATACTCATGGTCTATACAAGGTCCCTGAAGGGTTACTAGAATTTGAAACAAGAACCAACACCAGGGGCCACGGCTATAAGCTAAAAAAAACTGCGCTTCAACTTCTCCACGCGACAAAATTTCTTCTCGCTTCGAATCACCGACATGTGGAACAGCCTCCCCGATGACATCGTTAGCGCTCCAAGTATGAACGCGTTCAAGAACAGACTAGATAAAGCTATGGAAAAATATATGTTCAGATTTGAAATGCCTAGCTCCTTATCGAACCCGGTGGAAGTCTAGTAGCTACTTCAAACTATCGTCAGTCATGAAAAGATCCGGTCAAATGACACGAATTTAGATCTTCTGTGAACAAGGCACGAAAAGGAAAAGAATCGGCGACAAGCCACATCAGGCCTACACTTCAGCGCCGACATCACTATGTTATGTTATGTTAATTAACGATCCAGGCTACATCTGATGGCGGTGTGAACTCATCAATCAACTTGTGAACTCATCATTCTTGTGAACTCAGAATGATGAGAACTTACATGCACGATGTTCAAATATCACGTGTCTGAGGAGTAAAATTAAAGGGGGCTTCGACAACTATAATAACTGTATTACCCCGTTCTCCAAAAATCATTGCACAACCTTTCAGTTCTGTTAAAATTTCATTCAATCATCCTGTTGATGTATAGAGTTACGCACGCATTCGACTCAAGATATCTTTGAGATGCACTTGTAGATAATATCCATCAATTTAATTATTAGCGTAAATTATCTAAATATATGGATTTTTTGATAACACAAATTTACTTAAAAGTTGATAACAAATTTTGATACGTAAAGTATGACAAAAATTCGTCCGGCGTTTGCTAAACTCTACAAAAAAATTTGGAATACTGATAAAATGTAAACGATGGTCAACGATGCAAATTCGGGTAGTTTACCTAGAAAACAGATTTCATATTAGCTGAGAGCTTTAACACATCACACTTGTCACCCTCATAATTCCTTGCCTTACAGTCACCTCATGTACATCACAATTGACTATATATACACTATAATTTGGGACTATATATGTATTTAATTTGACTATATATAATATAAATATATAATATATAATTAATATAGCTCTTTACTCACCCCATCCGATGCAGTAATAAGCGCAGTAGTTCGGAGGTCCCTGGAAGAAGGCCACGCTGATGAGGTTGTTCAGGTACATCCCCTCAATGAACATCCACATGAACATCGCTGAACGTCCGTACTCCAACATCACGTGAAACGTCTCGCACAATATTGGCTGCGTGGACAATATTGTAAATATTATTGGCTGTGTAAACAATATTCTAAACAATATTGGCTGCGTGAACAATATTGTAAATAATATTGGCTGTGTAAACAATATTCTAAACAATATTGGTTGCGTGAATAATATTGTTAACAATATTGCATACAATATTGGCTGCATGAACAGTATTGTAAACAATAATGGTTGTGTAAACAATATTCTAAACAATATTTACTGTGTAAACAATATTGGCAGCGTGAACAATATTGTAACCAATATTTTCAACAATATTGGCAGGGTAAACAATATTGTGACGCCTTATTCCAAGGATTATATTCCCTTATCACAAAGATATTGTAAACAATATTGTTTGCGTGAATAATATTTAAGAAATATTGGCAGCCTAAATAATATTGAAAGCAATATTGGCTGCTTAAACAATATTGTGACGCCTTATTGCAAGGATGATCAACACTAATATCAATGGAATAATATTTTGACAGCTGGTGCTATCGGGATCAACGAGCGTATTGTGAATACTGTGATAAGTTGTAAAGTAACATATCAAGTAACATAAAGTAATAAATGATTAAACATTAAATTCAATTGCAGTATTCAGTTTGTATAATAGTATAACTCATGGGTGCAGAATCAATAAATTTGAACCAAGATAACGCAAAGCATATGAATGATATATTATCGTTTTCCAACAATATCGTTCAAATTCATTATTTATGATACAACTTTATGTCTTCTCTTTACAGTACAAAAATGAATAATAATCTAGCAGTTAATAATAACACAGTTCTTACGATGCACACACCATGTAGAAGCATGCGAACCTGAATTTATGAATTTCTTCTAATATTCTCAAAAATTTAAGTCATTTATTTCTCCAGTAGCTCAGAACTTTCGTGTCAAATTCTGTTTGCCTTTCAATCTCAAGGGAAAAAATCGCTGGTTGAAATATATCTGGTCCCATCTCAGGGAAGAAGATTTTGCACGAGGAAAAACAACGCGGCTATTTTTAGCGCATTTTCTCATTTATGGAAAAAATGCACTACTGTATTGTGCTCGCCATGTCCGTCCGTCCGTCCGTCCGTCCGTCTGTCCGTCCGTGACTACACGTTTTCGTCGACGAGAAAATGCGCTCTCTGTCACTCACTGCATTGAGTTCTGAGTTATATTTTCTAGTGAAATGTTTCCTATACTTTAATACGAAACCAAGGCGGCGTCTCAACTGAACTTTAAAAGAAACTTGAGAGATTTATTAGAGTTAGCGTTCATGATGACTTTTTACTCACCGTTGCGTCGATGCCGCGTACGTCTATGGGGCGCAACCGAGGCGCTTACGCCGACCGAGTCGCCCCTGAGAGCGGCCTGGTCAGCGTACAAAACCATGCGCACCGCAGCCTGCAGCAGCATCGCGACGAAAAGGTTCTTGTGGATGCGCGACCTGTTGTTCCGAGACTTCCTGGTTCCGGAAAATAAAAACATATACCATTTGTAAATATATACCATGTATATATAAAAGTATGTAAATATTTTTACATATACATATGTAAAAATATTTTTACATATATAAATGTATAGATTTTATTACAAAATTCGTACGTTAGTCCTAATTTTCACTTCGACAATTTGAAAGATTTTTTATAAGAAAGACAAAATCCGTCAGCCTTTATTATCTTTTCCAGTTGATAAACTATTGTTCATAATTTCGATTTTTAAGAGTTATCCGTTAATTTTAAAAATGTAATAAGCTTTCCCAAAATACGGCTGAATCGGAATACTTAAATACGACAAGAAGCGGAATGCATTAGTGCTATTCACCTCTGCAGGCTATAAATATTTTACTGACAATGATATTTATTATTATTATTATTATTATTATTATTATTATTGTATTAATATTATTTTTTCTACGAAGCATTTATCACGGCGTCTGGTTCAAACGAACTTCAAGGGCACGTCACACAGAAAATTAATAGCAAGCGAAAAATAAATATACACGAGAAAGGATGGGCACTGATAGAATGACTAAGCACTAGATTCATACACTCATGCATCATAGATGAATGAGTATAAGATTTGTAATTGGGCGTGAATCCTCAGCAAAATGTTAATTTTGAGCATTTAAAAATGTTCGTTCCACCCTCACCTGAAGTATGGAAGAGCTGAGGGACCTCGAAAGTCAACAAATCTGTCGAATTGAAAAAAATATAACTCAGTACTCACTGCAGTGAGTGACAGAGAGCGCATTTTCTCGTCGACGAAAACTTGAGGTCACGGACAGACGGACGGATAGACGGATGGACAGAGAGACAGACAGACGGACATGGCGAGCACAATTGTGCATTTTTTCCATAAATGAGAAAATGCGCTAAAAAGACATGAAGTTCAACGCAATTTTTACGACGTTAGTGAAGAAATTTTATTTATTTATTTATTTAGGTAGTTTGGTTTACCATTTTAGTATATGATATTCAGGTTGGTTCAGTTCTGGACAAACAATAAACCGTATCATCACTGTAAATAACCAGATAAAGATAAACTGCACTTCAGAAAGATACTTTTAATATTTTCAAAAAATATATATATTATCAAATATTAAACCTGCACGAAAAAACGTTGAGCGCACTTAAAGCGATACTCAAAAAATGTACAATTTCCGTGGTGAATTACTGCTCGACATCACGGCATTTCATTTCCAATCATTCTGAATTTCTTTTACAGGCACAATGACAGACGCTTTGAAGAAATCCCGGTCGAGTTAGAATGTAAACATAAAGTTTAAATAATATCGTTATTCATTATACCGCTTGAATAATTACTGACTCTAACTTTTGAATAAATTGTTGGCAAGGCAATTTTAATGGCTCTAATTCTCGAGTACATTTGTACCTATTACTTATTATCACAATCTAGTCCTACTATTGCAATTTATTTATTAAACTAACCTATGCAATCTAAGTTAGGAACTATTTATATTAAATTCAGGAACTAAATAACTATTTATTTCGAAATAAAAAACTAAATAACCACTTATTTCAAAATAAAGAACTAAATAACTAGTTATTTTAAATAAAGAAATAAATAACCACCTATTTCGAAATAAAGAACTAAATAACTAGTTATTTTAAATAAAGAAATAAATAACCACCTATTTCGAAATAAAGAACTAAATAACTAGTTATTTTAAATAAAAAACTAAATAATCACTTATTTCAAAATAAAGAACTAAATAACTAGTTATTTTAAATAAAAAAGTAAATAACCAAATAATTATTTATTTTATTTCAATATTGCAGCGCACTAACTTGACGAAGTTGAAGACACAGAGAGAGAGCAGCAGCGACACCAGCGACAGCGCCAGCCCGGCCACCTCCACGGCACGACAACTGCGAGCTACCGACACCTTCAGCTGGAGAACAGGGGCGTTGATTGCAGGGGTACCAGAGGCATGGTACGTTATCCCTACCTGAAGCTGTACCAACAACACCAGGGACACGGTCTTCACCACCAGAGTACTTGATTGTCACTAGCAAGGTAAGGATTATCTCTACCAGAAATGTATTTTCACAGTTCTTATCTCAATTCGAGTATCTCTTTTCAATTTCCTCGACGAAAATTTATATGTTCGAGGAAACAAAGAGCCAAGAAACCTGAGCGTCTTCCCGCGAGCCGTGGTACAGTTGGCTCCGCAAATGTAGGAAGTACAAAAAAATTATATTTCTACCTGAATGTACCACTAATAAGATACAAGATAACCTGTACATTCTCCCGCTAGCCGCGGTTCAGTTGGTTCAGCAGCTGTAAGAAGCGCAAAAAAATTATATTTCTACCTGAATGTACCACTGATGAAACACAAGATAACCTGAGCATCCTCCCGCGACCCGGAGTAAAGTTGGTTTAGCAGGTGCCGGACATCGGGCGTGAAGCAGTCAGTGTAGTTGGACCAGCCCACGTCTTGGTTAGAACCACCGTTGCGGCCCAGCCAGGTGCCGTTCAGACCACATCTTCTGGAAGCCAGTTCTGCCAAACATAAACATACTTCCTCCAATGTTCCTGCATTCATTTACTTACTCTTGGATAAAACTATCACGTAGATCTTAACTGGAAATTGGTAAATTTCTGTTGGGCGTCCATCTAAGCTCCATGGAACATTACTGAAGCGTTATCTTATTGTCAAATGCACCGAGTAATATCATATCATAACAGGAGCTGAATGTATGAAATAATTTAATAACGTATAATACAGGCCTCGTATTATACGGGTCTCGATTTGAGCACAAATATTGCATATGCGAGGTGCTGGGTAATAAATTTATATGTCAATGGTAAAATCTTTATCAATTTGCGTCGTATCAACAATTATTGTAAGTTCGCGGCTGGTGAACGCACTCGTAGGATCCACGCCTTCGAAGGGGGGACAAGGCAAGAAGACTTGGGCGCCAAGAGGAGCGGGAGGCCAGCAAAGGATGTTGTCCCACGTAGCTTCACATCTTGCACCTGTTAGAGCAATGAATTCCATTACCTATATTCAGAGGTGGGCAGTAGCGCGCTACATTTTCAGTAGCGGTAGCGGCGCTACATTTAAGCAATTGTAGCGGTAGCGGTAGCGCCCGCTACGTTTAGAGCATGTAGCGGTAGCGGTAGCGGCCGCTACATTTCAAAGTAGCGCTGCCCAGCTCTGTCTATATTATCTTTAAACATAATATTAAATATGTTTGCGGAACTCGGAACTCCTGCAACCAATCACTGAAGACTTTTAAAGCTTAACCCATTATAATCGTTGACGAGAGATCAGGCGCTATGCGCATTTAGGCCGCTACGTGTACTTAGGAGAGTTGGGATAGGATAACCCAATGCATATTTATGTTGAATTACGCGCAAAGAGCGCTCATGTGCACGAGCATAAGATGCACACACATGAGGGATCTGGCATTACATAAAGCTTTAATTAAGATACAATTTCAGGTACCAACGTTGATGAACCAAAACTGAATATCGAATATAGCTTGAAAATTTAGTCGATATGTAACGAGTCCTTCGAACATTCACCTTAATACGACTTAAATTTAGTTGAATTTTCATTTGATTGAATATTCATCTAATTGCGTGGTTGAAAATTCCTGCAAAATCTATGTAGTTGGGATATATAATAATACCATTAAAATGGGCAGCTACCGTCATCATACCAATTATTCTTCGAAATTATCCTTTAACTCGATGGCAAGTGTGCAACCACATGACACAAACTACCATTTTAATCACATCACAAAGCTGCTATAAGATCGCTCCATCAACATCGAATTTCAATTGCTGAAAAAAAAAAATTCACGTTCAGGCAGCCACAACGTGAATATTTGAACATTAACTTTTTTTCGTATCCGACTTTCTAAAAATGCTAAATGTCGAGCTAAAAATGCGCAAAAATGCTAAATGCGAGATGAAGCACTGCGTGTGTGAAGTGGAGGTGCATACCTGCGTGGTGAAGCACTGCGTGCGTGAAGTGGAGGTGCATACCTGCGAGATGAAGCACTGCGTGCGTGAAGTGGAGGTGCATACCTGCGTGGTGAAGCACTGCTTGCGTGGAGTCAAAATGGAAGGCTGAACAGTCCTCTTGACTCGTGAACTGCCAGGCGAGAAGGAGGTGTTCAGAGGGAGGCTCTCTCGTGTATTCATCGTTTATATAAGCGGGATACCAGCTTACAATTGCAGGGCCATAGGCCTCCAGCGTCAGGTTCTTGCTGTAACTGACGTGGCTGTCACTAGCGTGGTTGTCAGTGGAGTTGCTTTCACTGACGATGCTGTCACTAGCGTTGCTGTCAGTGGAGTTGCTTTCACTGACGATGCTGTCACTAGCGTTGCTGTCAGTGGAGTTGCTTTCACTGACGTTGCTGTAACTAGCGTTGCTGTCGCTAGAGTTGTTGTCACTGATGTTGCTGTCACTGGTGTTGCTTTGACTGGTGTTACTGTCACTGGTGTTGCTGTCACTAACGTTGCTGTCACTGATATTGGTAACAGTGACGTTGCTGTCAGTGGCGTTGCTGACAAGGAACAGTTGGTTGTCATCACTCGTAATCCTAATATTGCGGTGACCTCGGTTACGGCTGCTAGGAATAGATCCGTAACTGTACTTATTTTGATTACGGCTAAAGCTGTACTTTAAGTCATGACTTGCATGGATTTTGAACGCCCTCCTGGTAGTGTACTGGCGACCGTAGAAGAGGCGGCCTTTGCTGCTTGTGACAGCTGAGCGGCGATCGCTGCCCATGTTAACGCTGTCTGGGACTATACTTTCAAAAAAAGTTAAGAGATCGTGAGTTCATCGGCCAATCACTGACGGCCTTTCAAGCAAAATCCACCAATCATAGACAAGAAAATCGAGCGTAAGTACTTACGTTCACTTAGCGAATTTTTAAATTATGGCCCCTGGTCTTGCCAATTTAGGCTTTTCCTGTTACTGCTGGTGCTTGAGCAAATTTCAATGGCGCAATTTTCAATTTTTATGTCATACCGTGAGTTTTTCTGTTGACAAAATGTTGTTGGCTTCTCGGAGCTAACTTGATGGCCGTTTAAAAGTTTGGGAGCGCTGTCGTTGATCGAGTGAAGTCTTCGATGCGTGAAATCGTTGTTTTTCATCTACTATTATTTAAAGTCCTTCATTATTCAATTCACTATTTGACCTAAAATCACTTTTGAAATGTTTACAGTAATGAAATGGTTTACTCTGCCGCGTGTATCTATCATAAACATTAATCGTGACTACGCCGAGGTTGAAGATAATGTAAAACAACTTATTACTTATTACCAAACTATTTCTAGGACTAGTTTCTTCTATTTCAGACACGGTGCACACCAATGAATAACTTATTTACTCGACTACACTGACAGCAGATTGGTCTATAACCGATTAAGAAATTTTTTATTAAGATCTCAATATTTTTTTCATTGCTTATCGTAGTTCCAATGAGCAACTATACTACCAATTGTCCTCAGTTATCACGACAAGCCTTAGTTCTGCTCACAACTGCTCGGCTAAGAGGCAATTTCGCGATCACATCCCGCCACGTTTGCTAGAAATTCCCCGCAGACTTTGCAAGTTCGAAGCTCTCGGATTAACAAGTTTTCTTTCTCTAGTCGCAAAACTTTGAGTTAGGCTTTGAAAGTTTGAGCTTTTAATGTCCATAAATTAAAATGTACAGTATAAATTATCCGAGATAAACTGGTCCTTGAAGTCGTTAATAGCTGCTTAATATTCTGGCATCATTAGCCCTTCAAGTCATTCGAAAGCTATTTTTTCATTTTAAAATAGACTGGTAAAATGGAATATTTTCATTGATGTTGTGTGCTCTGATTATTATGTAAAAATAACTAATTCTTGCTGTTAACAGGTGATTTGAAACAAGCTTCTAGTTCTATTTGAATGCTTAAATTATCCACACGACAAATATCAAAGGAAAATGCACGTAAGTATCAAAACTTTTAATTTCAAACTTGGATTGATTTTGTAGTTATACTAAATTTAAATGGGAAAATTGACGTGAAAGACGTGTTTTTCAACATCCAGTTCTTCGCAGTGTCGAACCGTCCCTTGCAAACTGCGGCGTTCTCAGATCGAGCAGCACGCGTCCTCTCACCAACCCTTGCTGATCATCACTGAGACTCAGGCGGCAGAACAACTGTAATACAGACGGATAATTTCTCACGAAAGACCAACGCGAAATTTTTGAACCGGATGATATTGACTGCAGTTAATCCGTTAATCGCCATCACTAGCCCATAACATCACCAAATAATCTAGCAGACAACCAGCAGTTTGATAAACATTGAGCGTCAAGATTCAGTTGGAAGTGATTGAGAAGCAGTTTGCAGTCAGCCTAACAGCAGATCATTCTACAATTAATACGCACTAGAAGCGTATACCAGCGCAGACGTTATAATATTATAACAGTCGTATTATTGTTATCGCAGACGTCATGTATAATCTTATAGCGATAGTCTTAATATTATCGCCAATGTCATAATCAATGCTCAGGCGACTTAATCTTATCGCAAACGTCTTAATCTTATCGTAGACGCGTTAATCTTATCGTAGACGCGTTAATCTTATCGTAGACGCGTTAATCTTTTCACAGACGAGTTGTAGTTTTCGCATACGTCTTAATCTTATAGCATACGTCATGAACCTATCGCAGACGTCTTTATCTTATCGCACACGCCTTGATCTTATTGCAGACGTCTTAATCTAATCGCATACCTCTTGATATTATCACAGATAATTAACTTTTTTTCTAATTTATACTTCGCAGCCGTCTCTCGCTTTTTCAGATGCGATGTCCGTCCATTCGTCTTTGTTCCAGCTGCACAGCCTGTCCACTCGTCTTTGTTTCAGCTGCACAGCCCGTCCACTCGTCTTTGTTTCAGCTGCACAGCCCGTCCACTCGTCTTTGTTTCAGCTGCACAGCCCGTCCACTCGTCTTTGTTTCAGATCCTGCCTCTGAGCGCGGCTGTCATACTGGACGATAATCGCCCATGTCGGGTATATCGCCGGGGACACGAGGTGAAGCGTTCACTTGGCCGTAACATCGAGCAATTCTTGTAACTTCATTCTACGCCGCGCGTTCGTCGCAACATTTCCCGAACACCTCCTATGTTCCACTATTTTTTAAGACGCGCTCGATTCGTCATAAGCAAAACAGTCGCTATTGCCACTTGTGAAAGAAACGTATCTTATTGCCACTTCTGAGTAAAACGTTATCATTGCCACTTCTACCCGAAACATTTAAAATGGCCACTTCTGAGTTAAACGTTTCTCACGTCTACTTCTGAGTGACACGTTTCTCATTGCCATTTCTGAGAAGAACGTTTCTCGTTGGCAGCGCAGATTCGCCCAACTGGCTTAAAAAATCCATTGCATGCGATGTTTTTAGGAACAAGTGGCACTCGTATTGGCTTTATTTACGATACTAATGTTTTTAAGTTAAATTTGAGATGTTTTACGCCCTTTCATACGCAATGTTTAGAAACAGTTTCGTTGCAATTCCTTGTTATACATTCAAGTTTTATTCTCCTGACGAAGCTGATAAGTATTTCTGATTTTAAGGCTAAACAGATGATATTCGCGTATTGTTTTCCGTTACTCATTAATCGCAGCCTAACAATTTTTTAATCCAACCATCCTCTCAATCTCATCTGCACAATGAGTGAACGCACGTCTCTGGTCATCATATTTACGGTGCATCTACACTTATTAAGCTATACCGTACTTGTTTGGTCAAGTGGTTAAGAATACATAAATTAGATAAAAATTCGCCGAATTTATATACAACTTACTATCACATTTTCACATTTTATTTCCGTTACCTTCTCATACGAAGCCTTACAAGTTTGAGGATCTAAGAATTACACAATATTTAATACGTCGTAAGCTTTTAATAAACAAAAAGTATTTAAAAAGGATCTCCATCTAAATTCGTAGTTAACAATGGTCAGTTATAATCACGTACAAAATCTCAAATTTCAGTATAGTATCAAAAAGCATTTCTTTACATATTGAAAAATTTTAATCGAAGGAAACTCATGAGTATCACCTCATCAGATGATTCACAATCATCTGCAGTTCAAAGATCTATGATTTAATACATAACATAAGAGGGCCAAGTATAATCCCAACCAAGTACAGGAATTTATCCCGATAACGATGATTCATGAGAGCACTAGACAGCTTGCTTGCCGTAGTCCATCTCGAGGCTTCATCTTGAAATTAGGAAGACGCATTCAGGTCCTTCTGGAATACTGTTCCCCGAATGTAAATTCCTTCGTCCATGTTACCAAATTCGTACTCCTGGTGTTGATTTAAAACTTGTCTCCTTAATTTTTCAAAACAACAAAATCAACAAAACAACAATAAAACAAAATGTTGTAGTCGTCAACCAAAACGAAATATCGTTCATGAAATTTGTCATGTCCTCATGATAAACTAAACATGAATCTCTTTCAGTACTGCGAGCCATTAATCTCGAGTTGTGCTATAATTTTCCTCATATGGTTATGAACTTCATTCAATGTAGAAGTTTAATCTAGGTTAATCCGCCTGAAATAGAGTTTCATAAAGCTCTCTTCAGCGTTGCGCTTGGTTGATCCGGTTGAAACGACGAACTTTCGTAAAATCTCTTAGCGTTGTGCTCTGTTCCTCCGATTGATTACTTTGAACAGCCACAGAAACTCGTCGAGAATAAGAATAAGGATGATCATAAGAGTGAATATCATAATGGCATTCCCTAAAATCTTAAACAAGTCTTCCATTTCCTTACATTTACCACTAGGGTCTTGCCAATGAATGTTATGTGTTATGTCCTCATAATTGCCTGTTAGGAGTTGGTGGCTGTAGATTACTGCATCCAGGAAGGACCGATTCCTTATGTCACAGAGTCTGAACATTAAAGAGGCGAAATGAGCCCTAACTAAGTAAACAAGTACCAGTCCATAAAAGTAGGAGCACAGCCAGCTGACGCTAATGCTTAGTGCCGCCACGATGTACGCCAAATCCGACATACTTGAATATTGCTGTCGCAGACGGCGTCCCAGCCAGTGTGGGACAGCGTCCCACCATGTCCTAGACCTTAGGCTTGGACGATTGTAGAAAATAAATATCCTATCGAAGAAATAATCACGGTACAGAGTAAATTTCACGCAAATTAACGCCAAAGTGGCACTCAGCAGCTGGTTGTTTACAGATTTCAAGTGAAGAAATGGCGAAATTCTTCTTTCTCGTCCGTCTGTTTCTATATGGCCAATCGTCTCTTCGAAATTGAACACCATCCAGAAATGATTCTTCAGAGTGACTGCAGTGTATAGAGAAAGCAAGATATTTACAACTTGTCTTAACCAGAATATTCCCGAAGTATGGACTCCTGCTACAGTGAACACAAAACTAAGGTCCCACAGTGTAATAGCCACGACAACGAGAACTGACAGTGTAAGTAAGGTGATGTAGATGCTATCAGCGGAGTTGTGGAAGTTGCCCACGTGGAAGGCACCTCTGATGTAACCGAGCTCTATTCTGCTGGTGTGCCGCCAGTTCCACGCCACGATCCTTTCGAATGTGAGGTAAATCTCGTAAAAAATGTCTGTTTGGCGGTCACGAAATGCCAGACTGAATTGGATAAACCGCAATTCTGGATGCATGAATCCATCCCGCACTCTCTCGTCCATGCAATCCACGATTTCCGAGAAACAACGCGCATAGAGAGAACTGTTGTGCGTGAACTT